ATCCTATCCTATCCTATCCCATCCCATCCCATCCCATCCCATCCTATCCTATCCTATCCTATCCTATCCTATGCTATCCCATCCCATCCCATCCCATCCTATCCTATCCTATCCTATCCTATCCTATCCCAACCCATCCCATCCTATCCTATCCTATCCCATCCTATCCCATCCTATCCTATCCTATCCCATCCTATCCCAGCCTATCCTATCCTATCCTATCCTATCCTATGCTATCCTATCCTATCCTATCCTATCCCATCCCATCCCATCCCATCCTATCCTATCCTATCCCATCCTATCCCAGCCTATCCTATCCTATCCTATGCTATCCTATCCCATCCTATCCCATCCTATCCCAGCCTATCCTATCCTATCCTATGCTATCCTATCCCATCCTATCCCAGCCTATCCTATCCTATGCCATCCCATCCCATCCTCTCCTCTCCTCTCCTCTCAATCGACCCCCCCTCCTCATCCACTCATACATTACTATCACTCTCCATCTGTTTACCTATTCATCCGCTCCCTCTGCACTCATCCACCCCATGCTCTCCTCCTCCTGTCTTCTCTAGCCAGTCACCCAACACTATTTATAGACCATGCTCTTTTCCTTCCTCGTTTCTTCCTGTCACTCACATCTTCCCTTTTCTCTGTCCTTTTCATCTCTCATCGCAGTCTCCAGCCCTCAGTCCATTTTTGTCTTTCCTTTTCCAATCCTTCACGTGTTCCCTCCCCTCCTCCTTCCTCCCCTTCTTTCCTCCCCTATCACACTCCTATCTGACCCATATCCTTGGATGACATCATCAAGAGGCTCATTCATCAGAAATATTCTCAGTGTGCTCAGGAGCTCACGGCGCCTCTGTTGTGTCAGCCGTCTACTGATACTCACAAGATGTATTCCCTCACACCTGTTTTCATCACAGTGCCTTTGTTCTTGCGTCAGATCCACTGCAGCTTCTCCTGCAACATTTCGTTTCTTCTTCTGTAATCCACGTCCCATAAGTCCACAGTCAGCTCCACAAAATAACAATTAATGGTATCAGTGAACTCGCATGTAGCTTGTGGTTATGTCTGTCCTCCAGTAAGGCCAAATACAAAAATCAATCCCTGCTCCTCTGGCTCAGAGCAGATGGTGGCGTGCCAGCATGACAGTGAATTCTGATATTCTGGCCAATTTTAATTTGGTCCAGTCTGATAACCTGTTGAGTGACAGCCTGATCCTGAGGCACAGTGAGTGTGCAGTGCTGTGAGGTGTTAGCTCATCGAGCTGCAGGACTATGTTTCTCAAAGACTCATTTCTGCCTTCAGGTTTTGGCAGCTCAGTCCAACACTGTGTAACTCATTCTCATTTGGCCCTGAATTGTGCTCTTTTTGATTATAGCATAAACGTTGTCTTCCCAGTTCTGCCCTGAAGGCTGAGTTAAGATCTTTTCTTCACACATGGGTGAATTCTCAAAGACTAGATTGTGGCCGCTGATAGCACTGTGAGTCACTTGCAACTGCTTTCTGCCCGTCTCGAGGTCTAAAACACAGAAAGGAAACTTTCAGACCCCAAGCTACTGGTCTTCACCAACAAAGTGCAGAGGCATACCTGGCATGATGATGACTTTGCCTGGCTACAGTCACTAGAAATAATCACTAGAAAACTCTTGTACCCTTTTTCTGTTGTCACTCTTGGCCACGGCGTGTAAAGCCCTCGCAGATTTTTGTTTCCATTGTCAGTTTAGACATGTTGTGCCACACCATGCTGTGCTGGAGATGGATCTCCTCAGGAGTAGGTCCAAAAGCTGGGCCACCCGCCCTCAAGGGGGTAGCAGTGACTTCTTATTGACCGCAGCAAACCCCCAATGACCCCCTTTCTCACCCCCAAACAAGTGTGTGTGCTGCAAGACTTTACTCACCTCTGTCTGCAGGAAACCAGAGAGAAAGACATTTTAAAAAGTCTCTGTGTGTTCAGCTCTCAGTACTTTTGTAGCTTCTAACTGAATCTCTGTTGTTTGGAGTTTAGTTTCCTTCCTGCATCCTGTTTTCACTTCAGATATCTGCTTTATTTTCTGTTTCATGTTCGGTACCAGCCGTTTTAGAAGTTGTGTGAAGCTGCTGCTCGAAAACTCAACGTTTCCTTATTTTGCTGCTTCACAATAAAGGTTTATACATAACAAAATAACGGGACTTTTATTGTGAGGAATCTACAGGAAATGAAATGTGTTAATTACCGAATTAGCAGAATTTTGTTAGCGGCTTTTTTTCAATAAAGACAAGTCTAATAATAGGGCAGGGAGGAAGAGTGAAAGCAGAAACAGCCAGTTTAGTCGTGGATCAGCCTGCTGCTTTTAGATATCATCACTCAAGACAAGCCGTCATCAGTGTAAGATACACCTTCAAGAAGGTAGCCCTGCTGTAATGGAAATGCAAATCCCTGCTGTGCTGGGCTGACGGCCCAAACCATGACTGTCGAAAAGGGGTATTGGTGTGACACGCCTTATAAATGCATTTCAGTTAGCATTAATTTTCTGAAGTATTTTCACTGTGTCTGTGTGTGGCTATTAGCTCCTACCGTTGTGAACTGTCACCAAATGTATGCATATTGCCTAATTTAACATGTGCTGACAGCACAGTAGCACCAACATGCTATTTGCTCGACAGCACTGTTAGGAGTGCATTCCATTCTTTGTGGGTTGTGTGGTGCACAGTTTCTACCTGTCTTATTTGTGCATAGTTAGCGAAAGCTGCGCAACTAGTTTGTAAATTCCCCTGTCAGTGCTCTGACAGGAAGCAATTCTGTATAAATGCTAACATAATTTAGTTTGGTTTATTTGTCAGAGATAGATACACTTCAGTGAAGTGATTACAAACTTGTGGAAAATATGATAAGCCAGAAAAATAATGAATGACTTTTAGAGGTGAGATAAGTTGACTCAGGAGGCTTACTGATGTTTCACCCCGAAAGAACAAAATAAACATAATATTCAAGATCACAGATTACATTAAGATAAAATGAGAGCAACAATATTAAACACAATAAAGCCAGGCAGCTGTAATGCATGAATAAAATTCACATTAAACGTTTTTACAGCACTGTAGAAATTGTAGACAATTCCAGCTCCATTTTGGCTGTAATATAAAGTAGCTGCCGGCAGCAGCAAAACAAGAGTAAACACGCAGTCTGTCCAAAAATGACAATATCTGTGGCACTCAGTAGATCAGTGAAAATGTCTCACAGGCAAACATGCTGGAAACCCAATATGGTGAACACACCAGTGGTCCTGAAGGCAAGAATATGTGTGACATATTTCCCACAGTTCAGTGTTGCAGTATTAAGATTTATAGTTTTGGTTCATAGCTCCTCACTTGGGTCAGTTCATGTTGTTTTGGAAATCCCGGAGCAAAATTTGTGGATGCAGCCTAGAAAGCTTTATGATGAACAGACCCTACTGTAGCTGACAAAAACATAAAGATTTGAAATGTTAAAAAAAATGACTCTTTTTCTTTCACCTCCAGGAGAGCGCTTGTTCCCTCCTCCGTCAGGCCTGAGCTACTCCACCTGGTTCTGCGTGGAGCGTTTCAGCACAGCTCCTCAGGCCCACCCGGTGCGACTGCTGACCATCGTCCGCAGAGCCACGTCCTCGGAGCAGCACTACGTCTGCCTGGCGGTGGTGCTGTCTGCCAAAGACCGCTCGCTCACCGTCTCCACCAAGGAGGAGCTGCTGCAGACCTACTGTGAGTACAGCTGTAAAATATTACAACCGGTTTCATTTACTGCATCAGGTGGAGTCCAGATAATAAGCAAAGTGGATGTGAATGGGTCATGGTGGCGACTCTGCAGTGAGAGAAGTCAATATTTACACACAACTCCGAGCCATGAAGATATTTAGTATGTTTATTTAACCTGACATACAGTTTGTTTTTTCAGTAGTTTGATCCTGTGCATACTGTCAAGTTTAAAGCTCCACTCCAGCTAGTGTTACTTCCTGTTTGGCAGTAAACAATCTTTCTCAAACAGAGAATAGGAGTGTGGCTAGCAGTCTGACATATTCCATGGACGTTACCATGCCAACCAGATTGCCATTCTAGCGTTTATGTAATGCTGAACATCATTAGCACGCATAGCAATAGCACATAAGTTATGAGGAGGATTTTTCTTCATGTCCTTGACTTGAAAACATGGATCCCCCAAAAAGATGGGGGTCGTCAGATCATATAGACTAGTGAATCCCAACTGGTGAATCACGGGTCCATTCTGAATGGACGGCAAGTGACCCGCGAACGTGTTGTTTGAAAAGAAACACACTTTGTTTTGAAGTACAGTGAATTTCTATCACAGAGCTTTTATTTTGGAGTGCTGTTTTCTGCTGTAGAGTGAGAGACTAACAGACGGCAAAATCGCTCGACAACATGGCCAAACACAAGTATGACGCTGAATATATTCAACTGTGTGGACCTTAAACTAATGACTAAGAAGAAATCTGGCCCCCGTGGCTGGACCAGTTGGGAACCATTTTGGGAGACATACAAAGGGCTGGTACCCGAAACATCCCATGTGGTGATACAATTAAAATTTCCAAAAGGAGCAGTTTCTGGTGTGTGGACCTGTTTTTGTACATTTGTATTTGTTTGTCTGTCCAGCACCCAGTATTTATCATTTTTGGATGTGTGTGCTGTTTTTGAGTCTTCTCATATTTTGGGAGACACTGCCTGTGCCACTTCGTTTTTTCATCCTACGGAACCAAAGTGTCGCTGAGCAGCAGCTCTCAACTCGTTCTCTGGCTCAGTTGGTGTGTGCTCATGAACAAGTTAACCCATCAGAGTCACTGCTCAGTGTGGGTTTATGCTCATGACAATATTTATTGGTTTGCCATTTAGACACAAAGAGGCACAGTGCATCTGTGCTAGCTTGGAGGATGACGCATAAACTGCAGATCCTACTATAGTCATACGTCATCCTCTTGTTTTAGCAACATTCTCTTTTTGACTTTGGCCACAAAATTAAGTTATTTGTCAAAAACTATTTGGTGTCAGGAAATGACTCAGAAGAATCTAAAAATATGATAAAAAATGCCAAAACACAGTGGAGCCGGGCTTTAAACTAGTCTTGTTTGTAAATAAATGTCAGCGCTCACAGAGTTTGATATAGTGGATGTTCTCAACGGAGGGATTTCACATCTCAGTTTTTATTTGAATCTGGAAACTGTTTATATGTTGTGTTTAAAAGTTTATATTTTTCAAGTATTGCCTTGTTCATGTGTGCTGGGTTTGGGGGGGGCGAAGGAGGGAGAAGTCTGCATATCTGTTCCACTTCATAAAGCCGTCCCTTGTGGGATTTCTGTCAGTAACCCAGAGGTCATGTTTAATGTCCGCCCTCACCCTCTGACTCATCGATACTGCCCTCTGCTTCCCTCTCCCCCCATCAAGCAGCGGATGAGTCGAGTGAAGAAGCCTCCTTCTATGAGATCCTGCCCTGCTGTGCTCGTTTCCGCTGCGGCGAGCTGATCGCGGAGGGCCAGTGGCACCACCTGGTGCTGGTCATGAGCAAAGGCATGCTGAAGAACAGCATGGCCACGCTGTACATCGACGGCCAGCTCATCAACACCGTCAAGGTAAGGTTACAGACTGGGTGACATCATGCAGGCACGGCCAAAGTCTTTCTCAGAGGTTTGATGTTGACAGAGTAATATCTTATAGAATATATCATGTACAGTTGTGTGCAGTTTACAGAGTCCAAAACTAGGGCTACAACTAATGATCTCATATGTGATTTGGCTATAGATTAGTTTTAGTAAATTATTTGTAGTTTCAGTATTTAAACAAAGTGAAAAAGGATCATGCCACATGGCTAAAACCTGAGGACGTGCTTTCAGTTTTTTTCTGATGAACAGCCCAAAACTCAAAGATATCCAGTTAAGGGTATAAGTAAAACAGAGATAAGCAGCATATCATCACATTTAAGAACCTGAAACTGGAGATTATTTGGTGTTCCTGCTTGATAAATGACCTAAATGATTAATTGATCATGGGGCAGGATATCGCCACTGACTTCCGCCACTGACGCCACTGCGATTCGATTCCCCAATTTACGATTCGCTTTCATTCCACTGGGGATATTTCAGTTCCAATACCACTTTTTGCCAGAGAACTAATACTGTAAATTTTACAAGGAATTATTTTTTAAAAACAAATAAAGTCAGAACAGGAATAAAACTGAATATTTCATAACTAAATATTGTTTCTAGAGCAGCAGCAGTGATATTAAAACAGCAAAGTCACAATGTAAACTAATAAAGAACACAGACATCAGTCAGTATCAGTCCTCCTGTCCTCTCTGCTGCTGAGGAGACTCACTGCCTGCAGGTTACATGATTGTAGTAAGTGTTAAGATACAAGACAAACTAAGTTTTACCTTAAACAGTTGTTGTTTCAGTTTGTTAGTAACAGTTTGCTTGTAGCTGTAAAATGCTCTGCGCTCATTTATAACGTAATATTAGCGGCAATAAATGAGAGACTGTGGATAGAGCAGATTGAAATATTGCACTTCTACATGTTGATGATCAGGTGTATTGACTTTTACCTCGTGGAGGTTTTATTGCACGTACAGTAACAAGTGTAGTTGTCGTCAGCTCAAGTTATCCGTGTCTGCAGCGCAGCATCTCTACTCTGTGTTCTTGTGTCTCTGTGTGCGTAAAAGTGGCGCAGCAGCCTCGACACACAGACAGCAGGAGGAGAGGCTGCTGCAGCATGATAACGAACAACACCAAAATATAAACACAGTAAGCTAACAGTTACAGAGAAAAGAGCCGGTAACGTCTGAGCTTCTCAATACTACGATCATTCATAACTTCATAACTACCGGTGAGATTATCGGGGTTAATCTTCACACATCTTCAGACTGATCTTGGATTTTATAAATCAGTATCGGGTCATTCAAATGCTTGATGAATCGATTATTTTAACCCAGCCCTTGTTGATAATCAGCATTGTTGTATATTAAATTTGTGTTGATAGACCAAGTGATTATTCAGCACTGTTCCACATACACAGTCCCAGTCAGAATATGCTGATGTGCACCGTTTCTTCTTCTTCTTTGTATCATGTAATATAGATGGACATATGTATAGAAATACACAGAGTAGATGTCGGGCCGATCTTGCCACGTATACTAAAACCTGTATTTAAAGATGACCACTATATAAAGCAGCAGAGACCGAGTGGGTGTGTGGAGTCACTGGATGACACAGTGCTGATATTATTGGTAACAGCATCAGCAAGCAAGTAACTGAATCACTGTCCTCTGCTGTGGAGTGAAGCTTTGTTTGCCCTGCTGTGATGGGAAATACAAAAATGGAACAATTAGCTCAAAATACTGGAACACTGACCACTGTCTTAATAAAAAGAAGCACAGACATACATTAACATTCACCAGGCTTTACACAGCCACCCTGCAGCACAGCAGCCGGCTCGCTTTGATGTGGCTTGCGGTTTAGTGACTTTAGATTCCCTTGAGATTAGAGAGCAGAGCAGGGGAACGGCTCGGCAGACCACAAGTCTCAGCTTCCTCTCAGCACTGCTGATAACGACAACTTCATTTCCTGCTGAGGCCCTCGTACAGGAAACAACAAGCCACTCGTATGTATCTTATGGGGCTGCGTGCATGTTAGGGTGTACTTGTGGTTTTGATTTTTGCCCTCTAGGAATGGGTGTCTGTGAAGGACAAATCTCTTAAGTATTCTGTCTCAAAGGATTCGTCTAGGGCTCTTCGAAGCAAAATGAAAAAATGAATTTACCCAGCAACAGCAAGAGCAATTGCAGCTTCTATTAATTACTGAATAATCAGCCCTCAAACTGATGATTTATGAATAATGAAGGTACTCTTCCTGAATGTGATGAATCCCTATAGAAGTTACTCACCTGTGTCTTTACCCTCCTCTTCTCTCCTCCAGCTCCACTATGTCCACAGTGCACCGGGCGGCTCCGGCTCCACCAACCCTCCTGTGCTGAGCACTGTGTACGGGTACGTGGGGACGCCGCCTGCCCAGCGCCAGCTCTCCAGCCTGGTGTGGCGTCTGGGGCCCAGCCACTTCCTGGAGGAGGTCCTGCCTGCCACCAGCGTCGCTGCCATCTATGAACTGGGACCTAACTACGTGGGCAGCTTCCAGGCCGTCTACCTGCCCTGTGAGTGGTCCTCTTGGTTTCAGCTGCCTTGAAAAGTTTGCTCTTTAATTTTGTGTACCATCGTCTGTATAACCTCCCTTTACTTTTTGTCGTTTTATCACCTTTCCTCACACGTCTGTCAAATTAAAATCTTATCTTAATACCTTTTATTATCCCAGGTAAAGACTCAAAGACAGAGGTAGCACCAGCCTCCCCAGTGGCGTTGGTCCCAGAGGAGAAGGTGTCCTTCAGTCTCTATGCACTCTCTGTCTCCACTCTCACTGTGGCCAAGATCAGGAAAGTCTACAACAAACTGGACAGCAAAGCCATCGCCAAACAGGTCAGACGAACGTCTGCTCAGTGAAAGTTATTTATTTCATGGTTATGTATTCATGTCAGTATGTTTCATAAAATGATGCATAAACAGCTGGTGCTAATTTGCAGTGCCTAACCCTTAACAAAAGAGAGACTTTGTCATGGACAAGTAGAAACAAGAGACTGAAAAAGTGAGGCTGAGATGAACGGGCTGAAAGTAACACATAGACTGGAGCTGTTTTGAAAATAAAAATGGAGAATGAGTGTATCCAAAATATAATTATTGGTATAACACTTACTGACTCGCTCCTAAAGCTGCTCTTTGGAATAGTTAAGACTTTTTCTCTGGTTTATTGTCAGAGATACTGTAAAGCGAGATTAATACTACGGCATAGGCTCTGCACCGACATAGAGCCTACACCGTACGTATGGTGTGTAACTACACGTCGCAGCAACACAGACCTCCCATCTATTTTTGCAAGCTGAATCCATTTCACAGATAAGAAACAATAAATTGTGAAGACAATAAAGCCTCCACAAAAATAACATTTTAAGTCTTGTGTGTGATTTATCCTGGCTTCATATGAGCAGAGGAAAACTCCGCTCCTCGCTAGGCTAATTTATAGAATGTAAAATGCCACAGGCTTGTACTAATAACGTTGTATTTGTTTGGAAAACGTGTTCAGTATTGTTACCTTTGATACATGTTGCTGTTGTCCCCGGCTTCATTTGAGTAGAGGAAAAGTCTGCTAGCTGCTAGGCTAATTTATAGAATGTAAAATGCCATAGGCTTGTGCTAAAAACATTAGCATGTTGTATTTGTGGGGAAAATGTGTCCAGATAAAGACAAGTGTTTGTCTGTGAATGCTGCGAGTTATAGTGAAGCTGATTTGTGTATGTGTGTTTGAAATTGTCTCTATTAAGACATGTTTAATGTGTGTTTAATGTGTGTTTTGAATCAACTAAACTTTATAGCACTTCACAGAAACCCCGCCACCGACTAGTGTTTTGGAGGTGTAACTGCAGAGTGACACAGACACACCACTGCACAAGTATAAATGCTTGCAACAGCGTAGGTCACGTGCATAGGCAATTACGTAGGCTATGGCGTCGGGTCTGCACAGAGCTGAAAATCCCCCTTAAGAGTTTGATTAAGAATCTACAAATCAGGGCTGCACAGTGTATCATTTTTTATTGTCTTGCATTGTCAACACACCATTAAAGAATGTGATATTGATATTTTGAGGTGAGTTTAAAACTGCACTTTAAAATGTAGCTATTATTCCTTATTTAATTGGTGCCATTTGTGCTCAGTTTATTGTCCCATTTGTTCAATTAAAGACGGTTAGAAATATTTACCTTTCACTTTTTTATTCAGCATGCAATTTGTTGTATTTTAGCAGCACACTGACGCAGCAGAAAGCGAGATCTGTTCATTTATTGCAAGTGATATAATGATATTGCTATCACGATATTTAACAAAAAAGACTGTAAATTTATTCTTTTTCAAAAGTGCGAAAAAGCTTTTGTAGATTTTCTCCAGTTTGCCTGAAATAATGTCAAATGATGTGAGCACTTGTTTTCAGTAGCAAACATACTTTCCTAAAGTTTTACTGAGTGGGCCTCCCGTGGGAGAAAGGTGGAGTCTGACTGACTTACATTACTTCATGTCTGACTGATGTAACTGGCTGAAAAAAGAAACAGCTCTTTCCCCTCAGCGCTGAGGGCGGTGATGGTTCAGTGCAGACCTTTAGCAAAACTGCAAAGTTTGCAGATAAAAAAGATCCTAAATAATAAATAAACACACCCATAAAAGATGTTGTTGAGGTTTCTATCGCCAACTCTCCATTTATAAATGTTTGTACACACATATACAGGCGTACATGCAGCTGCATCGTGGCATGCAGAGGTCACACTCACTCTACAGATAAAATGCTGTCAATCTACCTGCACGGATGTTCATGCGTTTAGAGAAAGGAACACACCATCCTATTATGTGTGTGTTTGAGCTCCAAATGAGCTCCCTCCTCCGCCCTTATCTCTCTCCCCACCTGTCAAGTTATTTCCCAGCCTGCTCGGCTCTCCCTGCTAAGCCTCAGCCCACGGCAACTCACAGCAAGCAAACGGCGAGGAAGTGCAGAGGCAGCATTTCTGCCGCCGCAGGGACCTGTTGGAGAATAGGAAGAGAGTGGAGCATAGCACCAGCAGTGAAGACAATACATGGGAGTTTTATAATAAAGATACAGGCTGTAAATTTTTCACTGCTTTCTCATTAATACTAAAAAGAAACACCACATAAAGAGTCTTTTTCACACCTTTTTCACCTGCTAAATTGGCCATCATGTTAAAGTAAATAAATAGAGCTCCACAAGTGCAGTATTTTTCTGCAGAGCAGCAGAGTGTGCTGCCTCTTTTCCTCTTGACTTGCTTAATTGGTCCCATATTTCATTCTAGCAGGCGGAATAAGAGCCTTTTAGAAAGTTCAGACCGTGATTCAAGACTGCAGCTTGCAACACTAAATTCTCATGCTCCTGAAACAATCATATCCACAACAAGCAATGTTCAGACCCTAACGCAACACAACAAAACAGAAGAACATCATGCAGAACGGTGATAGAGTGAGAGAAATGGTTTACTACTTTAAAAAGTGTGTGTGTGTGTTTTGATTGGGATATTTTCACTGAACCTCTTCTCTTCTTCCTCTGTAGCTCACTGTGTCCTCTCATGAAAACGCCACTCCAGTCAAGCTGATTCATAACGCCGCCGGCCACCTCAACGGACCAGCTCGTACCATCGGCGCCGCTGTCATTGGATATTTAGGTAAACTAAGTCTGTGACCAAACTAATAAACTTTAAACTGTCACATTTTCTGCAGCTTTACTAAAGAAAAACACACCTTTTCTTCCTTTTACCCCTGCAGGTGTCCGTGCCTTTGTGGCCAAACCTGTGGCCACCAACCTGCAGTATGTGGGCGGGGCAGCGGCCATCTTGGGCCTGGTTGCCATGGCGTCAGATGTGGAGGGGCTGTACGCAGCTGTCAAAGCTTTGGTGTGTGTTGTGAAGAGCAACCCGCTGGCCAGTAAGGAAATGGAGCGCATCAAAGGCTACCAGGTGAGAGACAAGTCTACAGTTTGAATTAAACTCCAAACTTTATTTTATACATTCTGTCGTTACTAAAGCCATAAAGAGTGATTTACAGCTTCGTCAAGTTAATACACCTGGTGAATAAAACATGAGACCTGACATCAACAATATAATGAAATGTGATGACTAAGCTATCTCTCTTGCAGCTGCTGGCTATGCTACTCAAGAAGAAGCGCTCGCTGCTCAACAGCCACATCCTCCACCTCACCTTCTCTCTGGTGGGAACAGTCGACAGCGGCCACGAGACCTCCATCATTCCCAACTCCACTGCCTTCCAGGACCTGCTCTGTGACTTTGAGGTGAGAGCCAGGGGGGGCAAATGGATCTGAGATGCCAGTAAATGCTAATGAAATAAAGCACTCTTCATCAAACTAATGAGATTCGACTGCATTATCGCGGTCCAGCAGTTGAAATAACTATTTTGGCAGCCGACCAGCTATAAGCATCTGTCTGGCTGATGAAGCAGCGAGTCGCAGGTATATTTTGGGATGCACTGGGTGCTGCGACCGAAGGAGATGAAAGTTTTTTTTACATGGCTGTTGAACCTTTTAGAAACTGGACTGCTCTGTGCCAAGATACATCCTCGCTCTGCCAGAAGTTTGTGTTGCCAAACACAACTTGTGTCGCAGAGGTCTCAGTCTGCTCCTTCTGCTCCTCAGGTCTGGCTCCACGCTCCCTACGAGCTCCATCTGTCTCTGTTTGAGCATTTCATCGAGCTGCTGACGGAATCCAGGCAAGTGTCAAAACTTTTTAACGCCCTGAATAAAAAAGTATTTAAGTAGTGAGTGATGAATAATATCATTTCACTGGCACCATCACTCCCATTTCAGCAAAGAAGCTGAACTCCGAATAAACTGTGTTTCGTACTTTCTGTATTGAACAGCGAGGCGGCTAAAAATGCCAAACTGCTGAGGGAGTTTCAGCTGGTCCCAAGGCTGCTGCTGACTCTGAGAGACACCTCACTGTCCCAGCCGACCGTAGCTGCCATCAGCAACGTGCTCAGTCTGCTGCTGCAGGGCTTCCCCAACCAGTATGATCTGCTGAGGTAAACACACGGTCACACATACCTGTCCTCAAGGAGAAAACTTGTTGTACGTCTAATTAAGGATAAAGCAAAGATGGAATATGCAAATCACAAGAAGCAGAAACATCTCTGACTATTCTACGTATTGCATTTGTTAGTGTTTACCGCAAGCTTGAAGCCAAAAACGACATAATTTTCTTTTTTGTTTTTCCCATCACAGGTTTGGCCAGTTCATCTCCTCCACTCTTCCAACATTTGCCGTCTGTGAGAAGTTTGTGGTCATGGAAATAAATAACGAGGAGAAGATCGATGGAGGTAACAATTAATCAAATATACTAACACTCTTGTTTATGCAGCCAAATGTTGGTAAATACAAAAGCAGGTATTTTAAATCACATTTGGCTTGTGAAATAGATAAATATGTGTTCAGATGTTCTCTAACCTGAGTGATATCACGATTTCTTGTGTCCTCAGGTAATGACGATGATTTCGGCGGTCTGCTGTCAGCCAACCTCATCCTGCTAAGGAACCGACTGCTGGACAACCTGCTCAGACTGCTCTTCACCACCAAAGAGAAGTGCACCGTCAATGCCCAGTAAGACAAAAATCTCCTTCTGTATCTGCTTGTCCTGAAAGCTTTGAGCTCCAAAACCAAACTCCCAGGGCAAAATGTGAATCTTAACGAAAGTATCAAATGTCTTCAAGTATAATATGAATTCGCTGGATCTTAGAAACTACAATGCTGTAGATTGTCAGTTCACCCCGTTTGCTCTCTGTCTCCCACCCACAGAGCGTGTGAGGAGCTGGTACGGACGCTGGGCTTTGATTGGCTCTTGATGTTCATGGAGGAGCACCTTCACTCCAGCACGGTCACGGCAGCTCTGTGGATCCTGGTGGTGCTGCTCTCCAACCAGTCCATCCTCAACCGCTTCAAAGAGGGCCTGTGTGGAGGCGGCTGGCTCGACCACACAGACTCCGTCCTGACTAATAAGATTGGCACAGTGCTGGGTGAGTGCACGAGCCTGGGGCGGCTTCACGATCACCACGGCAACACAGTTAATCAAACAAAATCTGAGACACAATATCAACTCAAGATTTAGACATTTGTCTTAGGAGGAGGTGTGCTTGATTTTAGCTCAGACATTCTTTAAGTTTCCCTTCGATGAGTCAGAGGCATGCAGTAATAATGTGCAGTGTGTATACTGTATGTTGTAATATGGCTCAGCAGACGCCTCTCCTCACTCTGGCAACGCTTTCCGTCGGAGTTGGCCTTCGTTCAGTAAACACAAAGCTGCGCAGTTTGTGCGCCGCACAGCCAAGGGTTCGTCTTCTCATTTTTTGCCTCCCTGCACTCCCTGCTGCTGCGACAGTAGTCCCTCCTGAGCTCAGTGGTTTTCAACCTGCACAGTTTTCAATTTTTGCCTTGAAATGCAGATTTCTTTTTTACCTTTTAAGATTTTTATTTCTTAAACTACAAAACAGCCTCACTCAGTATCATCTTACCAGGTTGAGAACCACTGAACTTGCTTATGAAATCCATGCTGAGTAGTGACTTGGCCTAACAGAACAACCACTGCTGTAGCATTGTCAGAATGTGTGCTACCAGGATGAAGCCCTTAATTGTATTAAAGGGACAGTTCACCTCAAAATCAAAAGTACATATATTTCCTCTTACCTGTAGCGCTGTTAATTAATCTAAATTGTTTTGATGTGAGTTGCAGAGTGTTGGAGATATCAGCCGTAGATGTTTGTCTGTTCTCCAATATAATGAAAGTAGATGACACTCAGCTTGTGGTGTGTGTAGCTCCAAAAAATCAATGTCTCTTTCCAGAAATCATGACCTGGTTATTCAAGATAATCCACAGACCTTGTTGTGAGCAGTTTAATGTAGGAACTACTGTATTTTCTTTCTATCCAATTACATCCGCCAACTGTATCATTGTGCAGGAGGAGGTGTGCATCTACTGCAAGCTCACCTAGCAGCACTGAGCGAGCTTACGTTACAGCTCAGCCGAGGACAACGCCATTAATGTTTACATCTTACACTGTCACGAGCACAAGCCTCTGATCCATGAGTAGATGCATGCTTCCTAGGGATGGGGGAAAAATTCACTTCTTAGATTCATTGAGATGCACACGTGGACGATTTGGCATGAATTCACAAATGTAAATGCTCATTCATAACATGATGTTGACGATACAAAAGAGGCGGAACTCAACTGCGAAGTCAGCGTAGCACCCGGACAGTCTAGAGAGCAGATGAGCGGAAGTTAACTTGCGCTAATTCATCTTCAAAAAAGACAGCAGCTGCAGCTTGTTTTAATTTAATGTCTAAATAATGACATATGGGAGGCGAACATGAAGAATCTGCAGATGGATCCAATCTGACTGGCACCCCCTGGTTCAAATGTGAGGGTATGGAGGTAGGTTGAAGGACAAGAGCCACACTGTATGCAAGTAAAATAATCTGTTCATTTAATTATGGATCACGAAAAATACAGTCTGCTATATTTTAAAAGAAAGAGAAAAATAAATCAAGTGTTGAAATCAAACATTTTGATGCATTGTGATGCATCAATAATCATTTTATCATCAGATCATTACCCTCTGAATCATAATCGAATCCAATAGTGAGTTGCCTGGAGATTCCCACCCCTAATGCATCCTTCTGCACACAGTTACAGGTCATGATTTCTGGAAAGAGACATTGCTGTTGAGGCCTTTAAATGTATTTTTTGGGGGCTTTGAGCATCACAAGCTGAGAGCCATCTAGATCTGTTATATTTAAGAGAAGACAGAAATCTCTACAGCTGATATCTTGTGTCAAAGCAATCTAGACTGATAAACAGCTTTGCAGGTAAGAGGAAAGATATGTACGTCTGATTTTAGGGTGAACTGTCCCTTCAAGATTTGGAGTTTGTCAACCGAATTCTTACTTTTTAAGTTATTTTGCTAGTGCTCAGTCTCCAGTTTAAACCCTGCTTGATTAGCTCAGTTAGAGGATTACCGTCCTGGGTTATTACGATAACCACCTCCTTTACAAACCTGCCCCAGCAGCTGTGTACAGAGTTCCCAGTAGATGCCGTAGTCAGAGGGTGTGTGTGCTAACACCACCTGTTTACCTCTGTGCAGTGTTCCTTTAACTCTCCGACCTCCCTCTCTAGGCTTCAACGTGGGCCGCAGTGCTGGTGGGCGCTCCACGGTGCGAGAGATCAACCGGGACGCGTGCCACTTCCCAGGACTGCCTGTGCTGCAGACGCTGCTGCCCAAACACACCAACGTGCCAGAGCTCTACTTCCTGCTCATGGCGCTGTTCCTGCAGCAGCCTGTCACGGAGCTGCCAGACAGCCTGCAGGTACATGTTAGTATATCCAACCTTCTTTTTCTTCTACTCATACTCATCTCAGTTTTACTTAAAACATTCATGTAATTCATTTTTTCTCTTTGCTCTGAATTCATAACTAATATTTCTTGAGTGTTATATAAAGTCGGTGATTTGACCAAAATGCATCCCCCATGTTGAAGGGTAACTGTGGTATCTTCCAACCTGGACTGTATTTCCCATGTTGTTGTGTCTAAGTGATTAATGGGATCAACAGTTTTTGAAATTGGTCCAGTATTGAGTGGGACAAAACCGGCTGCAGTGTAATTCCTGTAGGCAACAGAGCGCCATCAATTCACAACTCACAATTGCCTGTTTTTGCCACTGACAGGCTCAGCTGTTATTGAAGTGTCTGACAATATATGGAAAGGATCCCTACAGAGATAGACCTTTTTATTAAAGAGTAAGATCCTGTTTGTGTGCCCAGAAACAAATCCGAAATCACCAGTGCCAAACAGACCAGACGCCATTTAAATAAACAATAATTTTAGCGTGTATAGCGGCAGCATATTTTCACATCTGACTGGGTCAAGTCAGGGTTTATTTTAACCAGTTGGTGATTGTTGGAACAATGGAAAAATTAACTAAAATATATTTCGTTATTTTTATTTTTTTTCTATCAACTTTGAATTAAGTGTGTCTTACGATAAATGAATGAATGAATAAATGACTTAATTTTGAACCAAAATTTAAAAAAAAAAACATAATGAAAAGTGTCCAAAAAGGAGTAGGTAGAAGTAAAACTTATATGTCCCTACCCCTTTCTTACATTGCTTCTTTTAACTCATATATTATTCAACAAATTCCCAAATTTATTTATAACTAAAACACAATTATCCCCAGTCTGTTTACCGCCCAATTAAATAAATAAGTAATAAACACAGTTAATTTTCAATCCAAGTCCCACCCAGTATTACAAGATAAATATGCACTCCCCTAACACAACCTTTCCTCGTCTATATATCTGCCAAAAATATCTTTTTCAACTCATCACGCAGCCCGTTCCACATGTCCACCCCACACACTGAAATACACAGACTCTTCTTAGTTGTACAAACACATTGTTTTTTTTTTAAATTAAATTAAATTATAACTCCCTCCCTGTCACGAAACATTTTTTTAATGTTGCTTGGAAGTGAACAGGATTATTGCAGTTCAGAATTTGACCAGATCTGTCGATGATTTGATTAAATTTTATTTAAATGCAGTCTGGTTGGTTTTACAACAGTGATTTTGGGGCTGTTTCTGGTTAAACAAAAAGGATCCTAATCCTTAAAAGCAAAGTCTGCCTCTGTAGGGATCATTTCCATAATGTTGTTGGATACTTTTAATAATAATGTGAGCCTGTCAGTGGCAAAAACTAACACTTCAAGTGGACGTACATTGACGGTGCTCAGTTCCCTGCAGGGATTACAGTGCAGCCTAGTTTCCAGTAGTCACTTAGACACAAAAAGATGGGAAAATGGGGTCCAGGTTGAAAAATACCAAAGTTACCCTTTAACCTGCCGCCCTGCTCTTTCTAACCGACAAACTCTTGACAAGTATAGGCATCTCACGTGACACTTCTCAACCAATCAAATCTGTGCATTAACAAATCACCTACTGAAATCAGTATATATGAAATAGGGCTGGGCAATATATCGATATCGTGATATGAGACTAGATATTAAATTAGATTTTGGATATTTCAATTATTTATTTTTATCAGTCTTGACCCACTTTGTCATAATATACACATTACTGATAAATATTTATAAAAGAACCCTACAACCCTACATTATTGTCACAATATCGATATCAAGGTATTCGGTAAAAAAATATTGTGATATTTGATTTTCGCCTCATCGTCCAGCCCTAATATGAAATTTCAAAATGAGACTTTAAAAAAGCATGATTTATTTGACCTCAAATTAAACCTAAAAACAATTGAAATCATCACCGGATAATGTGGACATTCACAATATAAACTGAAATTTGTTTCCTAAACCTATGAGTTGAATTTACTGTTAGAATTATCTCTGACAGTTTAACAGCCATCAGAGTCTGAATATATTATGAGGGTAATTTACAGGTGCAGCTCCTGCTACTGTGCCTGCTTTCATCCAGTGTGACGAACCAAAAATCAGTAGAAAAAGCTGAAATTCATCAACTGTAACCGCTTTAAAAAACTGTATTCCGGATATACAAATATTAGCAGTTTTCAGATGTTAAAGCACCTCGTTCAAAACATGCATCACTGACAGTAGTATCATGTAGTAATATGTGGTGTGTTTCTGTGGCTGTTTATTACCCCAGTGTGTGTGTTTGTCCTCTCAGTTTGACCTGGACTCCATCTGGACCTTCATCTTTGGCATACCGGCCTCCAGTGGGACCGTAGTGGGCTCCATCCACAATGTGTACACCGAGGCGGCCTTCCTGCTGTTGGCCATGCTGCGCAGCATGCTCAACCTGGTGAGAACCAGCGCTCAGCTTTAAACTGTGAAAAACATCGGGCTGTCAGACGCTACGGGATGAAACCTATTCGAAGACCTTATAAAACTTGAAAGATAAATAACGTTTACAGTACATTTAATTACCCCAATATTTTTTATTTTTACTTGTAAAATAATGAAGTCCGATAATGAAACCTGATCAACACAAAAGTACAGAAAATGCCATTTGATTTCTTGAGGACATAACGCTCTCAGGATTTATATTCCAGCTGCATAGTTAGGACTTAAGAGAGAGATCTCAACCCTTAATTTGACTAATGGAATCCAAAACCTTTTCCCAAAAGCAGATTAATTTTACTTTACTTTCTAAACTCGATGTCAGAGGTTCCTTATGTTCATCAGTCCTGTTTTAAGTGGTTCTTTATGTGGGATTTCCCAGCAGTTGCCGTCTGGATTCTTTAAAGGTGTCTTTTTAAGCTCCATTAATCCAGCAAAAATGACTCGGCACACATGATGTTTTTATCCCCACTCCTCCACACGCTCGAGAGTTCCTCTGTGAATCGCACAGTGCTCGCCGCTGGTTGCCGAGAAGCTTCACTCAACCTCCTGGGAGCTAAGAGCCTCACTCTTACTCACGACACTGCTGCTGAATAACTTAGATCCTCCAGACTGTCTGAGAGTTGTACTGAAACACTGGCACTTCCACTGCCTCCTAAAATGATGACTGAATGAAAACCATTCAGGGTGTCTGCGGGTCCTTAAAAAGTCTAAAATGTCATAAATTCAGTGTATTTATTAGTATTACACCTTAAGAGTCATTAAATAGTCTTGAAATTTAATTTGTGAGGACTAAGTTGCCACAAATATTTGACCTCCTGTGGTGGCTTAAAGGCGAGACCACTCTGTCCCCCTGCTCCATTATTCTACCTCATAGGGCTGGGCGTCATAACGACTATGTACGATATATATTGATATATTTTCAAGCAGGATATAGATTTAGAGAACACTGTTTGTATCAATATAGGGTCAATTTGCATTACATGACTGCATATCCAGCAACACTTTTTAGAGCCGTAGCCTGACGTACACCTCCCCAGAAATGTAACTACACCTTGCAGCGACGCAGACTTCCTGTCTCCTGTTTTTGGAACTTGAAACCATTTCCCTCAGTGGAAACAAAGCTTTTATTTACTTTACCAGATAAGAATCAATAAATTGTTAAGACAATAAAGCCTCCACAAAAATAGCATTTTAAGTCCTGTGTGTGATTTATCCTGGCTTCATATGATCAAAGGAAATCTCCGCTGGTCGCTAGGCTAATTTATACAATGTAAAATGCCATAGGCTTGTGCTAATAATGTTAGCATGTTGTATTTATTTAGAAGATAGTTGATTTGTCAGTGAACCTTGTGAGCTGTAATGGAGCCGAATTTTGTAACGTTACCTTTGTTAAATGTTGCTGTTGTCCCTGGCTTCAAATGAGTAGAAAAAAAAACATGCTAGTCGCTAGGCTAATTTATGCGACGTTAACTGCCATAGGCTTGTGCTAATAATGTTAGCATGTTGTATTTGTGGGGAAAATGTGTCCAGATAAAGACAAGTGTTTGTCTGTGAATGCTGCGAGTTATAACAAAGAGCATGGATACCAAGAGGCGAAGCTCTGTTGAATTTCTGCCAACAGCCACTAGGGGTGCTAACGCCATTTTGGACTGTTGCGCCCAGACAGCATGCAAGATGTCAAGGAGAGAGGAGAAAAAAAGTAAAACAAAACAGTGTAGTGCAATTAACTGCAACAACTATCAGTGGAACACCCCGCACCTGGCCTTCCACCGTTTCTCGAAGGATCCCGACAGGTGTACGTTTTAAAGTGTTTTAATATCAATTTAATATGCCAGTTTTCGTGGGNATGGCCTCTTGGATCATTTATATCAGAACTGATTGAACTTTCTTTAGCATTAAAATATATCATATTAAAATAGCTTATATATTATTATTATTATTATTATTACTGTCCCCTTACTGTACAAACTGTAAATAAATCTTTATTCCTGACTATGTGACGTCGCCATTAATGTGTTTCTAGTTAAAATATTGATTTTTTTATTATTATTATTTATTTATTTTTTTGGTAGATTGGCTTATGGGGTGATTTTGAAGGAGTAATTAAATTAATCTTCTCATAAGTGGATGTAATATGTAGAGATGCCATCTAGGCCGTTTTTTGTCGTTTTGTTTTTTTAAAGTCTATATTTTGCTTTACAAAAATGTGAAAAAGCAGCTGTGACCAAGCTATCACGAGGTGAGTAGCATTGTAAGCATAATTAATAGCGATATACTTCAGTTTGTCTGTGTGTTTTTGTATGCAAGTGGGTCTGCTGTGGTCTGCTGACAGTCCAAAATGGCGGCGGTAGGATGAAACCATGGGCGAGTTTGTTGCTATGGGGCGTTCTATTGAGCTTCGCCTCTTGGTGTCCATGCTCTTTGGTTATAGTGAAGCTGATTTGTGTACTTGTGTTGAATCAACTTTACAGCACTTCACAGAAACCCAGCCGCCCACTAGTGTTTTGGAGGTGTAACTGTTGTGAAGCTGCATATTTTTATTGGGGAATAAAATCTCTGTTTTTACATTTTATTTTGATCACAATCTGTTTTTATAAAAGTGCTTGTGGCATCTCAAATGTGAGATATATATATCGTGTCTCGGCAGTCAGCCTGTAAATACCGAGATATGAATTTTGTCCATATCGCCCCGCCCTAGTACATTATATACAACACGGCAAGGCAGCACAACGGTGCAATATTCCCGCCTTGAACAGACAGTGTGAAGAAGGGCTAAAATGAGTCAAGCTCTGCTGTGTGGAAGTTGACGTTTCTAATGTGACAGATGTTTAAACCCACCGCTGAACCTACTCTAGTAACCATATTCCTCGAAAAGCTACCTATGCACGGGACCACATATATACTGTTTACCTTCATATCTACCTGACACGTTTTGATTCGGTCCAGTCTGTGCTTGATTTGTTTTCCTGTGTGTCTCTTCCCAGCCGTGGCAGTCAGAGGAGGAAGGCTCCTGGCTGAGGGAGTACCCCGTCACCCTCATGCAGTTCTTTAGATATCTCTACCACAACGTGCCCGACCTGTCACCCATGTGGCACAGCGCCGAATTCCTCTGCGCACTAGCAGCGACCGTCTTCCCTTTCAACATCAGGCCGTACTCTGAGATGGTAAGGCTGTACATTTATTCACAAAGCAGTAGAACACTGCTGCTCTTTACTGGTGACAAGAATGAGATAAAGCACTTCACCTTCTTCTGCACAAATCTCTTCTCTCAAGGGCATGAGGGGCTTTTGTTTGAGGAACTGGCTCTGAAATTGGGTTTTTAAAGTGAAAAAATCTCATCACCAGAGCAAGTAATTACAGGTATTGATCAGTAACACCATCAACTGGCTGCAGATATATTGTGATTCTCTCTTATGGGGCAATAAAAACTAACTTACTGCCCCTCTGGAATCTCTGTTAATACCACTGGCACTGTAATCTTGACTGCTGCAGACTCAAGAACAGAGAGTGTAAGACACTGCAGTTTGTCTCAGAGGAAAATGTGTTTTCAGGCAGTTTACTTAATAACATAAGTGCTTGGTAGTAAAAAAACAAAACAAAACAAAAACAGCAAGAACACTGAGGAAGCAAGGCCACGCTGCAGGATTGGAAACAAAGACTCAAATTGAAATGTTTGAAACTGCACTATTGATAAATTGTCTCACTCCGTCCGTCCGTCCGCTCCAGGTCACTGATTTGGACGACGAGGCCGGATCTCCCACTGAGGAATTCAAAGCCTTCGCCGGGGACTCTGGTATGAACCGCAGCCAGTCTGAGTACTGCAATGTAGGCTCTAAAACATCACTGACCAACCACCCTGCCAAAAAGTACGTCTTTGACTTCATGAGGGTCCTGATCATGGACAACCTGTGCATGACCCCGGCCAGCAAGCAGACGCCCATCATCGACCTGCTGCTGGAGGTGAGGACATAAAACCAGGGCGAGGAGTGGCGTCTCAGGGAGATCCCTTAAACTTGTTTACCCATTATAACTCTTCATACATAATGGTGTTAAGTATGTGTCCTCTGGTACTAGGCCTCCCCGGAGCGCTCCACTAGAACTCAGCAGAAGGAGTTTCAGTCCAACATCCTGGACGGCGTCATGGAGCATCTTCTGGCTGCTGATGTCCTTCTAGGTGAGAACAAAGTCCCTCATACTCAAAGACCCAGCCTGTCTGTGTTTGTTATTCACCTGCCACACCTATAAACTCCAGTAATCCATAGTTTTAGGGTAAACATAAACCTTATAAACAAATATTTCCCTGAAGCAGCTCACTGACCTTAATGTGTCATTACCTGCAGAAGCAGCTGGTAGAGAACCCGCCACTTAATTTAACGGTATTTGGCTCGGAGCTTTTGACAGAAATAGCTGATGATGAGGCAGAAAATGGCGGGGACGAGCAGCATGCTGCAGGACAGCTTGGACCGATTTCTCATTTGGCTCAGTGAGATGCTCTGATGGCTGCATCATGACTCAGCAAATTACAGTCTGAGGCCCGGAGAGCTGCAGCACCTTCAGCTTTACACATGGCTGGGTGTGTTATATTTAGTCTATAGGGGACAGACTGTTGTTTTGTTTTGTTTTTTTCAAAAATAAATTGTAAGATGACCTCATCTTTAATTTTAAAATTTAAAACCTGAGCTAGTACCATATGTTCCAGCTTGTTTTACAGTACATGATCTATAACATGATGAAAAAAACAAATGCAGCACATATTACTTTAGCACACTATGTTGTTTATTGTGGGAGGTAATTCCTGTTGCTAATAGATATTTATTATCAAAATACTACACTTACAAATCTATGGAGGGCCATTTTTACCAGTGTGATGAAAAGGAAAAGATCCTGTAAGTCACCGTAATGTAAAACTTTCTCAAAATAATGAATTAGTATTGAGTGAGTCAGTAATGAGACTTTCTACTAAGTCAATATTGAGGACCCCTTAAAAATGAGATGCCACATCTCTAGGGGCAATCCTTAAATTCAAATTATTTTAAGATACTAAGTCATTATTTAAAGTACATTTCCTTTTACTTTGAGATATTAGGACACTATTTAGAAATACTAAGTCATTATTTTGAGTGTGTTTCTCCTCATTTTGAGGTATTTAGTCATTTTGAGATACTTATTCATTGTTGGGAGATATTAAATCATTATTTTAAGTATGTTTCTCATTATGTTGAGATACTTAGTCATTATTTTTGATAAAGTTTCTTACTAATTTTAGATTCTAAAGTCATTATTTGGAGAAATTAAGTCATTGTTTTAAGATACTAAGTCATTATTTGGAGAAACTGAGTCATTCATAGGAGAAACTAAGGCACTACTTAGAGACCTTAAGTCATTTTTTGGAGAAATTAAGTCATTACTTGGAGAAACTGTAATTATTTTGAGAAGGCTTCTCATTAATTTGAGAACCTAAGTCATTAATTCAAGAAACATAGTCAGTATTTAGAGACACTAAGTCATTAGTCATTAATTGGAGATTCTAAGTCATTATTTTGAAAAATGTTTTATAAATTTGAGATATTAAGTCATTATTTGGAGGTATTAAGTCATTTTGAGAAACTTTGAGAATGCTTCTCATTATTTAGAGATACCAAAACAAAATTTTTTGAGTAACTTGATTATTATTTTGAGATACTAAGTTTTTTTTTTTTTTATTTATTTATTTATTTTTTTAATTTTCTCACTATAATGACTTACAGGATCTTTTTTTCTTGTTTCAGTGGTGGACATGGGCTTTAATAATAGTCAGTCTGTAAAACAAGTGTAAATAATTGTTGAATTGTTGAAACACTTTTGTCTGTAATATGATTCTACTATAAGATGAAAGATCCCTCAGTATCATATTCATGATAAATGCACCTAAGGAGACTGCGTAAGCAGCAGCTGATGGCCTCTCCTCCTGCTCCTCTCCCTTCAGGTGAAGACGCCTCTCTGCCTCTCAGCAGTGGAGGCAGTTATCAGATTCTGGTCAACAACGTCTTCTACTTCACCCAGCGGGTGGTGGACAAGCTGTGGCAGGGCATGTTCAACAAGGACTCCAAGCTGGTGGTGGACTTCATCGTGCAGCTCATAGGACAGGTACGAACTAGACTGACTTCAAAAACTCCAGAAGTTGTAGAAACAGTTGATTTGTATCAAAGTATTTATCGGATGACATCTTGAAACAATGCTGCGGTGTGTTCAGGCAGCTGGATCAAAGACGTTTCCTGCTGCTTGTAATTACCGCCTTTGTTTGCTAAAGTTATGAAGCTCAGAAAAACAAATTAAAGTCAGTGTTAGCTAGATAGCTATCACAGAGTGCAAGCTGTGAATGCAGTCTTGAATCAGATTGATGGTCACGCTGTGCTCAAAGGGAAACTGTTCTGATTTATAAAGGAAACTCAGAAACTTTGAGACTAATTAACAAGTAACTTTATGTCCTCTGAAAATTTGCTGACCTCCGGTGGTTTAACTTCAACGTGCTGCAGTGGCATACACCAGTTGTGCACTTCTGACCACACACAACTTACTTTTCCTACTTGGAATATTAAGTTGAAGGGCTGCTTCTTTTTTTTTTTTTTTTTTTTTTTTTTACTGAAATCATATAAGAATTTCCTGCGTCTCTTCAACGTAATTCACAGTTTCCCCTCCTGAACCTGCAGAATGTTGCTGCAGGCACAAAGAAGCCAGACTACATTCACAGCAGCAGTGATGTTTGGCCGTGTGCCAGAGTTAAATTATAGACAAACTTATCACATCCAGCAAAATGCAGACAGCGTCTGTGTGCTGCCTGCACTGGATGGAGAAATATAACAGTCCTTCTGTGAGTCTTCTTCCACTTAATGTAACCCATGAACACACTCAGGATTAAATTAGATAAGCAGCATCCAACTGACTGCAGGACTCACTAGCTCAGTTTAGCCCATGAAGGCACAAAGATTAGATACAGCTGTTAGTCCATTTACAGGCCTGACTGACTGACAGGTGTGTATTTGTTTGTGTGTGTATATGTTGTACATCTGTAGTTGGTGAGTGAGTTTTTCTAAATATTTAATATATGTAAGATTATGATTGAGTCCATTTTTTCAGGATATATAAAATATAAGGAAAAATATCTAAACCATGGGTGCAGAGACTTTTTCCAATTAGAGTCACGTGTGTGGACTTTGTTTCCTACTTTGTCTGTGGTGCCTTCTGCACACACGACTGTGCGAGCGAGGAGATTAGGAGATTACGCTCTGAAATTAATTTTTCAAACCATAATGCGCCTTTTGTGTCTTGGAAATTTCCCGCTGTGATTAGTGAGTCAGATGGCCGTGCACTTCACGCTGAGGCGTACAGCGGGAATTAGACCATATTTACTTTTCATTTCATTCAGCTGACTTGAAATATAAGTACCCGGTCCACACAGTATGTGCATGCTGATATGTACGACCCCGAGCCTATTCAGGAACTAAGTGAGGTATTAGAAGAGCAGGTTGTGCTGTTTTATTCAATTTTTTGCCCTTGAAGCTGTATGTCAGTCGTGTATTTTCATCTATTTATCCTGCTTTTTTGTAGGCAGACGAGCAGGCAGCAGAGTTGATGCACTTTTCTGTGTAACGTCCAACAGTTCAGAAGATGCAGAGAGGGAGAAGAACTCTATTGAGGGCTTTCTTGAAGGTGGAGACTATGGAGGAGTCTCTGATGTCTTTAGGGAGTGAGTTCCAGAGGTGATGATGAGGAGTTTGAAGTGGATACGCAGGGGGATGGGGAGCCAGTGGAGGTTATGAAGGACGGGGGTGATGTGGTCATGGGTGCGAGAGTGTTTGAGAAGATAAGCAGCTGAATTCTGGATATTGTAGTTTCTTGAGAGTTGTTTTGGATTATGAACAGTAGAGGAGACTGTTGCAGTAGTCCAGTCTGGAAGTGATGAATATGTGAGTGAAAGTCTGCACAGTTGAAAAGGAGAGGGATGGACGGAGGCGGGGAGTGTTTCTGAGATGGAAGAAGGCTGTTTTGGTGATGTGTTTGATGTGTTGGTCAAAGGAGAGGGGTGGTTCAGAGATGACGGATAAGGTTACGGACGTGGGGAGAGGTGAGAACAGTGGAGTCATCGATGAAGAGGGAGAAGTTACGGGTGGATTTGATGAGAAATTTGGGGCCGATGAGGATGACTTCTGATTTGTCACTGTTAAGTTTGAGGAAGTTGGTTTGAAGCCAGGATTTTGTTTCAGTGATGCAGTTGGTGAGGGAAGAGTGAGCGGTCGATGTGCTTTGGTAGAGATGTGCTGAATGTCATGAAACTGAAGGTGGAGACTATACAGGATGTACAGGATGAAGAGGAGGGGGCCAAGAATTGAACCTTGGGGAACACCTTGATGGGAGCAGAGGGGACTTTACAGTTGTTTATACTGATGAACTGGTATCTGTCAGAGAGGTAGGATTTGAGTCTGAGTGTAGTGCTGGTGATGTTGAGAGCGGTTTCAAGGCGGGAGAGAAGGATGGAGTGGAAGAAGTCGAAGTAGTAGAACATTGACCCTTAACACAACTATACAAGTCGCAGTTTTATTTCAGCATTTGCTTCCTCAACTTTCTGAACATCAATTTTCATCTTGTTGGAAAGAAGCTTGTTCTATTTTTATGAATATGTTTCTACTTGAAGTCCTTGAGCAATTCTCGGCTCAGACAAAGACACAACAACACTTGAATAACAAAGCTGCATTCACAGCCCTCGATCCACTTAACCCAGTTCAGCTCTGGTTGCTCAAACAAATCGTCTTTCTGCTGAAATATTTCCACAGCAGCTTTATCCGTATCCAGAGTACAGCAACACAGCTGAGTCTCTTTTCCCCTCTAACCTCCGCCACCTGTTTGTTTTCCTCCTTCTCCTCCAGTCTAAGAGACGTTCCCAGGGTCTTTCCCTTGACACCATCTACCACTGTCTGAACCGGACCGTGCTCTACCAGCTCTGTCGACCTCACAAGACGGTAGCTCAGCAGGTGGCCCTGCTGGACGCCCTGCGGGTCCTGACTGTCAACCGCAACCTGGTGCTCGGGCCAGGCAACCACGACCAGGACTTTGTGGCCTGCCTGGCTCACTGCTTCATCTGTCTGCACAGCGGAAGGTAAGCTGGTATAAAATTTATCTCAGGAGGAGGGTTTTCTTTCATGGTCTTGTGTCTCATTTCCTTGTTAGTATTTATCATAATTAATCAACCTCACCGTGTTATTTTTAATTCAAGTTTTAGTTGACTAAATGACTGGTTGTCTTGGTCTAACCTTAGTCAAAGAAAACATTAACTATTGGGGTTTTAGTCAATGAAAACTGTTGATATTTTAGTCTTTTTAAATATCAGATTATACTGAACATTTCAATCAGTCCAGTCAGCCAAAATGGGTGCTACCTTTTTTTTTTCATACTTCATACCTTCCTGGCATTTCACCGGGGCATACAGTATATGGCAGGATTTGTTTGTGGTGCCCGTAGCACCACCCTCACCCGAGTGTCGAGTTCGCAATGTTCCATGAGCTCTCTTAGCTTTTTCAGTGTTGTACATAAACAAAATGTCAGTGAAGTAAAAATTCTCACACCTGTTTTCCTTACTGAACAGAGAATTACAGCCGTACACATTCTGAATTTAAGATTCTATTTGTCACCAAACTAAGGCCCCATGTCCACCAAAGCGTTTTGTCCCTGCTCAAAACACCAGGTGCTCCTCAGGAAATGCTCAGCTGGAAGCGTTTGAGAGCACTTCGGAGGTGCAGTGTTTTTCAGTTTAGGCGCTTTGGTTGTGTCTGGTTGCGACAATACAAAGTATCCGCAGAAGTGAACATGTTGGCACAAGGTAGAGTACTTCCTCTGGATGAGAGGAGGGCTGAAGCAGGGAGAGAGGATGGACCCGTTGGTCTGTGTGGGTTCATGAGAGGAAAGCCCTGTCTCCACCTAACACTTCCAGTATGGTACCTTTGAAACCAAAAGTAACCCTTCAGACATGGTACCTAGACCCTAGGTCTGTTTAGGGTTGCTACGGCAAAGAGTACTCTTAAATGTGGGCACATTTGTTGTCGCTCACTGCTCCGTCCAGCACTCACTGTATATCCTCTTCACCGGTGACACAGATGGAAGTCTGCACCTGGTTTATCGTCCACAGAAAGAGGCTGCAAGCCAACATTTTCAAAACAAAAAAGAACAGGCTGCAGTGAGAATCTCTCTCCATGGGATATTTAAAAATAGCAAATTTGTGCATTTAGTCCTTCTCAGGCAAGCTCAGGGGTTTAGTGTTGCTGTAGCCCACAGGAACGACGCTCTGTGATGCTTTTTCTTTTCTCCAGATGAGGAGTAGAATATATGCAGATCTCATAATCCGGTCGAAATCAATGAGCATATTTTAAACACTTGAGGATCCACTCATTACTAAAAGTGTCTGTCATCCAAGAGGGATAATAAAAACTAATAAAAACATACTGGACTGCTTGGAGGAAACAGGGCTGTTGTCCACGTCACACCAGAGAGAGCTGTTAAGCCTGGCTTCATTAAAAAGACATCTTGGCAGCTTAATGTGTCTCATCAATGTATCGTAACTCGATCAGTATTTACGTCAGCAGTCGTTTAGCGTTGCAACATGAAGCAGAAAATGAGCAACATGACATTTAAAGCTCTTGATAAAAATCTGTCCATGTGTCATATTTGGTTACATGTGAAGTGTGACTCATGACAGAGGCAGCACAGGGTTTCTGTGCATGTTGTCTCAGCATGGAACATGAGAACAATGAAGGATGTGTAAACATGTTTCTAAAGAAGGCGCAAATAACCAAAAATATTCTCCGGATAAATCCTCTAAGACTGAAAGAGACTGAATGAAACACAGAGCTGATGATCTTGTTAGCTCACAGCTACTTAAATTATAATTTAGTCTGACAGTTGTATTAAGCAGTTCTTTGGCTCCATCTGTTTGGTTTAACTCTGAGATTATTTCTGAGCAGCTCTGCCTCTGAGGAATGTTTGTGAATCCAAACCACCGCTTTACCGCAGAGTCTCACACCTTTGTTGTTTATTTTCTGTGACTCAGACTGTGCTGCGTTCACTTACTCGCCGCTGGAGTGAAATTGTGGCAGGTCTTTTTCTCTGTGTCCTGCCAGAAGTACTGATAGTTTCCAAAAAGTGCAGCAGGTGGGAGGGACTGAGTTTCCTCCCATGCTGGGGACACAATATGCTGTAACAACGACTGCAGAGAGGCCAAACAACCTAATCTCCCTGTGATGCCCCCCTCAGGTCTGTACGTGGCAGGTTGGCACTAAGTCGCTGTGTGTGTTTGTCTCCGCAGTAGCGTGGAGGGCTTCGGTCTGGAGGCGGAGGCCAGGATGACAACCTGGCATGTCATGATGCCCACGGAGAACGATGCTGACGCTACGCACAGCCATGACGTCAGCGAGGGTGAGACACTGTTGTGTGTGTGTGTGTGTGCGTGTGCTTGTGTGTTGCTGCCTGGGCAGTTAACCTCTCTAACCCTGCTGACTGATTGCATGTGTGGTGTTAGGATTTTCTTTTAAAGTGTCTAAAAATATCCTCTGGTGAGAAAGAATTTTTATTTTTCCTTCACAGTTTTGTTTATTGAAAGTTTCAGAGCATAAATTCATGTATCAGTAGTTCAGAGTCTAAGTTTCAGTGCCCATTTCAGACAAGTAAATGTACATAGGTAAACACCTTTATACATAAAGAAACAGACAGATGGTAATAGTGATAATAAAGATTAAATATAAAAGACTTCATAAACAAAAATAGAAATAATAATGAATATTAAAATTACAAAAAATAAATATGAATGAAAATTAAGTAAAATAAAGAGATGGTAATAAAGATAATAGATATTAATTTAAAAAGACTTAAAAATAAAATGAACAATAAATAAATAAAAAAGAAAGATGAATTAATTAAGATAAAAATGAAAGAAAATGGGAGATGGTTATTCTAAAAATAAGATTTAAAAATTAAAATAAAAACCAATACAAAAATAAATAAATAATAGAAATAAAATTAATAAATAAAGAAGAAAATGAAATAAAATAGAAAAAGGTAATCGTGATAAAAAAATAATAATAATTAATTAAAGGAAATAAAAATGAAAATAATAAAAGATAAATAAATGATAGAAATACACATTAGTTATGATAAAATTAAAAAAATTAAAAATCGTAATAGTGATAAAAAAAATAAAATGTAAAATTAAATAAAGAAAAAGGTTTTAATTGAAAAAAAGACATAAATAAAAAGTAAAATGAAAATACAATTAATATTAAAAAAAGAAATAAGTAAATAAGGGATGAAAGAAAATTAAAATACCATCTTTTTTTTTTTGTTTAAAGTAAAGGTATAGTTGTTAAATGTGTACCCTGAGTTAACTTTCCCTAAAACAACAACAAAATAAAGAAAAGTTAGAAATATCTCTTTATATATATAAATTTAAGCTGGTACAACCTTGTACTCAATTTTTATGGACTACTTTTCATTTATTTTCAATTTTACTTGAATCCCATTTGACAGTAGGGAATATTTTGTGTGAAACTGTGACAAACTCAGACTCTACCATCATGTAATTGTTGCAGGGGTTTAACACATATTTAAAATATTGTATTTTAGCATGTTTTGGTGCACATATGTAGGTATGTGTGTATGTTATTCTTCAGTGCTCGTGCTAGAACACGTGTTTGTGGTGTGTGGTGTTTGTTAGCGTGAAGACTACTGTATTGTAAGCGTGTCCAACAGATGTGCCACAAATAATTACATGATTGAATTTGACATTTTGTTTCGTCATCATCTACAGTAATAGAGTGAGATTTATACCAGACTAATATTAATTAAATGAGCATTGTACTGTGATGTCATTAAAGCACTAAGGATGATTGTTGTCCTCCGTCTGCAGGGCGGCAGCTGCTGCTGAAGGCGGTGAACCGGGTGTGGACGGAGCTGATGCACAGCAAGCGTCAGATGCTGGAGGACATATTCAAAGTGTCTCTGCCCTGCAACGACAGAGGCCACGTGGACATCGCCACGGCCCGGCCCGCCTTGGAGGAGCCGGCACTGAAGAGCTGGCAGAACCACCTAGGTGAGGGACACTCACACACGCACACACACACACACACTGAGATATAACCACACAGACTCAGCTGATCGTCTCCTGAGCCGTGTCTGTGTTGGATTTGTGGTGTCCTGTTTTTCCAAGGAGTGATTGTTTGAGGCTGATCCAGATTTACATAACCAGATCAAGTGTTTGGGAGCTCCTCTTGTTGTTTTGCAAATGAAACAGTGAAGCCCTGCCAATAAGGCCCATTACTGCTGATCTGCACTCTCTCCTGCTGGTTCTCTCCCTCCTTCTCTTGCTTACTTCATCACTGTTGAACTTTTGCTAATGTAAGCAGAGCGCTGAATTACTACAAGCCTCCAGCCAAAGTTTAGACTCAGTCTGCTGAGCCAGACACTTTGGCAGGTGACCAGATATTGTTAGAGGAACATTTGCAAAACCTGGTAATGAAGTAATGGAAGTTCCAGTTTATCTTCATTGTTTTGTGCTGACGACATAAATCTAGTGTTCTTTTGTCATCTTTTACCCAGATATTCAGAAATAAATTTGCTTTGTTTAGTAGTTTTCACCACAAAAGCAATGTCAAGCAAAAAAAATCACATGATATATATTTGTTTTGTCAGCGTCGTATCTCTGCTTCATCTTCCTTCAGACTATCCAAATGGCTTAGTGGTTAAAACAACTAAATAAATTCACTCATGTGACTGTTTGTTTTTCTGTCTCTGCTCTTCAGTCCATGAGAAGAAGTGCATCAGTCGTGGTGAGGCAGTGGCACCGGCGACCCAGTCCAAACTGTCCAGAGTTAGCAGCGGCTTCGGCCTCTCCAAGCTGACAGGCGTCCGCCGCAACAAGAAGGAGAACAGCCTGAATAAGAACAGCCTGTCTGCTCAGGTACACGCCAACACAGCTCACACTCACTGCACAGCTGCAGCAGATGAACTCCATATATTAAGTATGTGTAAAGGCCTTCACACACCTGGGGAGTTTTTTGTTCCTTTTTTGATCAGTTCACACATCAGTAAATGTCTTCAAACTGTTTTTGTCATCAGTACTTTCACACAGAAGGCGAATAACGGCATTGAGTCAAGTCAATCAGTTAATATAGCACAGTTTAAAAACAACCACCATCTGACCAGAGTGCTTTGCACAGTCAAAAGAAGAAGTACAGATAAATACACCGAGGCAGTGACAAAACACGTATACTGTATATTTAAAACACATAAAAAGCCAGAGAAAATAAGTGAGTTTTTAACTTGGACTGAAAGCATTTGAAAGTGGGTGCTGATCGAACATGTTGAGGGAGGCAGTTCCACAATTTGGGGCGGGTCACAGAGAAATCACTGTCATCTTTACGCCTTGAACATCTGTCTGGGATAGAAAGCAGCAGCCAGTCAGATGACCTTAGTGTTATAGGAGGACACTAGGGATACAAAAGGTCTCTGAGATATGCTGTAGCTAGCCTGTTCAAAGCTTTAAAAAGTAAAATCTTGTAGTCAGGTCCTAACTTCACTGGTAACCAGTATAAAGACTTTAAAAATGGAGTAACATTGCACAGTATTTTAGATTTTGTTAGCTGACACGCGGCCACATTTTGCACCAGCTGAAGGACTTAGAGTTGCACTCCTTGGTCCCTCTTGTCTGTTTCAAGACACTGTTGCACAGTGTTACACTGCCCCTTTTATTGTGTTTTTATGATTCCTTTCAAGTATATATTAATGTGCATTTTGGCGTTTCATTGTAGTAATCTTATTTTGTGTTTTATATTGCTTGTTTTAGAGGTGTACATTTTTATTCTGTGTTTTTGTTCCATGTTGTCTTTCTGTAACTTATGTTGCTGCCTGGTTTTTTGTTTTTTTTTTCTGGTTAAATAAAGGATAAATAAATGAATTAAAGGCATGACACAGTAGTCTGACTAAGAAATACAGTGCTTAACAACAATCCAGGTGTAAAGAAATAATAGCATGGATTATTGTCTCAAAGTCTCTAAAAGAAAACGTGCTGGACCTTGCTTAAAACTTTAAGATGGTAAAAAGACTTAAGACTTAACAACAGCATTCACTTGTTTATCAAGTTTATGATCGGGGTCGAATAAAATGCCAATATTCTTAACCTAGGAACTGATTTAACCGGAGAGTGGTCCAAGGTTGCAAGCTAGGTTTTTAGGGACATCTGGAGATCCAAAATTTAAAATTCCCATCTTACTCTCATTAAGTTTTAAGAGTTACTAGACATCCAATCAACCAGTCACATTGCATCTACACTCATGAGGATTATAACACGACAACACTGAGGCTCAGAAAGTCCGAACCAACATGGCAAACTTTATTCTCTCTTTTCAGCCTTGACAAAAGCAGCACATACCAGATACACTCCTGTTCTTACCCTTCAAAATAAAAGCCTTAGACATATACTCTGTAAAAGGGGGGACTCAAATTTACTTAGAGTGTTTAAGGAAACAATAAAAATGCTTACAGTAGCTCAGGCTATACAACAGCTTACCTCACTTCTCGTAGTTGTAGATAGTTGATTATAGATGATTTTGATGTGAAAGATTCACAGAGAGTATTTCATATTGTTGTGTTGTTTATTCATCAGGCCCCTGGTGTGTAAAGGCCTTTATTCAGCCCTGTTAAGATATTGTTTCTCTCACCAACAGGAGACGTTCCAGTGGATGTTCACGCACATCGCTGTTGTTCGAGACCTGGTGGCCATGCAGTACAAAGAATATCAGGAGGTACTTGCATCATTACTCAATAGAGAGAATTAAGCAGACGTAACTCTCTCTAATTGTTCCAAACACAGTGGGTGCACAAAGAATTCAAGCTGTTTTATTGCAGATGATTTATTACAGCACACTCACTCTGTCAAACCAGCTGTAGGACAAACCAGCAGACTGTTACGTAACAGTTACTGCAGGACAGTGGACCAAATACACACACAGCGCAGACACATTTTCGCAGGCTGGTGTAGCAGTTGTGACAGCATGGATAATTTATGGCAACAGTGTTTAAAGTGACTCACCACTCACACCTCATCTGTGCCTCCATCTCTCAGCGACAGCAGAATGCCCTCAAGTACGTGACAGAGGAGTGGGCGTCCATCGAATACGAGCTGCTGCGTGAACGGGGCCTCTGGGGCCCGCCCATCGGCTCCCACCTGGACAAGTTTGTGCTGGAGATGACGGAGGGGCCTTGCAGGATGAGGAAGAAGATGGTCCGCAATGACATGTTCTATATCCACTACCCATACATCCCTGAGATGGAGCCAAACACCAACTCAGCGCAGGTATTCAGCTTTAAGCTTTAAGATATTCCCATGATCCCCTGCAGCAGTTTCAGCAAACATGAAGGGACTCATAGAGAATATTTCTTTCAGAACAGGGGGAAAGTGTTGTTTCACCTTAAAGCCCGCGGTTGAGGTAGTAACTGTGGCGAATCGATGTCTGTGTAAAAGAGACAGCTGGCAGGACAGCACCTTGGACAGGACGGGTGTGACATTTTGACAACATGTTATGTGTGTGACCCATCCCCGGGAGATTTGAAAGGCAGCTAGCCATAGAGTTCTCGGCCCTAAAAAGATCAGGCCTGACCCTACAGGAACTCACACAGTCTCTGTCCAACCCTGACCCGAGCATGACCAAAGGCAAGAGTTTTGGGCCAGTGCGCAATTAAATTTTTATTTATATCAAAACACAAGTTTAAAAGCGAAAGGCTGACATGTTTCCTAGCACCACTTCTTCTCTTCCTTCTGTTATTTCAATAGTCTGTTGTCTTGTGTACGACACGTTCAGCAGGGCAGGCTGCACCCCTCTGTGCATTATGTGCAGTCAATGGCGATGTGGGGCGCAAACCGATGATGATCACCTCTCTTTGCTGCATGTTACACATATCAGCCCCACTACTGGGAAGGCAGAAGGAAACACTGCCGGCTCGTTTTCCGTCCCTCTCTCACCCACACTCTGTCTCTCTTCCCCGATTCTCTATTATATTACTCCATTGCTCCTCTCTCAGTCGCCCTCACTCATTCTCTGTCTTTCCCTCTTGAATCAGTCCATTAAAACTGCTGATATTCATGCACGAAAACTGCCAGCTTTCATTAGAAAAAACTTGAGGGCTAAATGCGGGAGAACCCAATGCGACTGAAACCCGGGAGAATGATGAGAAATTACAGCCTGGCCTGAACTCGGCAGGTTGGGTGAAGCCCAGTCAGGCTTGGGCAGAGAATCAGAGCTCTAGCTAGCAGCTCATAAGTGCTATACGGAGTTTCTTGAAGATTTTTCACCTCTCATCTTCAGTTGCAGCAGACTGGTGTGGAGTCACAGGCTTTAAACTCTTACAGAGTCGTTGAGGTTGCATGTGTCGTTGACCCACCCGGCCATCTTGTGTGTTGTTAGGGTCAGATGGGTCCAGGTGAGAATGGGTGTTAAGTTGTCTGGGAAGGGATCCCAAGACACCTCTTCAAAGAGAGGTGAAATGTCTTCAGGAAACTCAAGCAAGTCCAGTTGCCTACGATACAGCTCTTATGATTACCATGACCTGGACGACTGAGGATCTTCACCGACTAGCTAGCAGCTGTTAGCAGTTACACAAAGTGTGACGCCCACAGAAAGAGACTTACAGTCTATTTGCATTTTATACATTTTGCTGATGCTTTAATCAAGAATAATTTACAGTAAGTTGATCCCCAGAATAGTGCAAGAATCAAAGTCACAGGGCTGTAACACAGTACAAGTAGCAACATCCAGTATTAGTGTGACTCTACAATAATCATGTTATTTATTAGGAGGCTTTCACATGAAGACCCAGGACCAGATCTGAATGCACCCGACCCCAAAGTCCAGTACGTTTATATGCTGATCTATGCCTGAGTCCACTTGGAAATGTGGTCTTGAGTACGGTTCATGTGTACTTAGATTCGGTTCGCGTCAGGTTTGAAAAACCAACAGAACCAAAACACCAAAGTGGACTGCTATTTTATTCAGGTAGCAGTTGGCATGTAGAGTTGCAGAGGCGATTCTCAGCGCTGCCAGTCTCCTCCGACATCTGCCTGTGAGTGCAACACGTGCAAATCTCATCCTCTGAACTGCACGGCCATGAGTGATAAAGTAGGGAGGCAGGCGAGAGGGTCATACTTTACATTATCTACTAAATATAAACCACAGTGAACACAATGTGAAGGTCGACTCATTCTATGGGCTTGGGATCTTGTGATTGGTGCTCTTTTCACACCTGTAGGGCCAACAAAATATGAACATAACAACATACATAATATGAAAATGACCTTAGTCTTACAGATGTAATAACATGCTAAAGAATGATATGTTAAGTAAAGGAAACATTCGCACAAACACCTGTAGTTAGAATACTTCTACTTTGAAAGCACCTTAAATAAATTCTGATTATTCTTAAAAATATTTCCTCCATTGTGTCCGTAACTTCGACCAATCCCCCGCAGAGTCGTGAACTCTTAAGAATAGCTCTCCTGAAATAGAGCTGCTCTTGGACGAGCTCTTTGGTGTCATGTGAGGAAGTGACATCAACAGCCGGTGGCTCACTTTTCCTGGCACCGCCAGAGACACATTTAGCTTTGTTTGCTCTACAAATAATCCCTCCTCTCTGTTTGCCAACGGGCGCCTCTCTTCACTCAATGATTTGTTTGGTCGGCATGATACAAAGACGTCGCTCTCAGGCATGTCCTGTTAGGATTGTGTGGATATCAGCCTCCTTTTACATTTTAAGCACTTACCTTTTGATTTTACTCAGAGAAAATTAAAAGAATGTCCAGATTACCAACAACACAAGCGGCCAGACGTGATTCAAGAGAAGTTAGAATCTTAATGCTCTGACAATGACCCTGGATTGATCACGTAATGCAACCTTGCTCGGTGGATTTGGATGTAACGGTCATGAGTTCATGAGAGTCTTCAGAGCCCTTCTGGGGACGAATATCTGGCTCATGGCCCCTTTAATCGACCTGCTATAATTAAATCCAAAGTCCCCCAGGCTTAATCATAATGCATAATTTAGACATGCTCGGGGAGCACTCGCAGGCTGTCCGACAAAGTCACACACTTGTGCCTCGCAGCTGAATACTATTACTAGCCATTAGCCTGACTTGGTCATTGAGTATTTCACCTCAGCAGTTGGGGCTTCCTGCCTTGCTCGAGGTGTCGATGGGAGTAGTTGTAGAAAGCAGTCAAGCGGCATTTCTAGTTTTATATGAACAGTATTTCTGTATACAGTTTTTAAGGGGCTCTTTTAGGAATCATCAAACATATATGTATAAATTCAGGGTCGTGGAACCAGATTGCAGATCTCTACTTTACGAATACGTCGACTGACATTTCAACCCCTCATCCTTCTTCTGTTTACATCCTCCAGCCCTCTTGTCCCCCTCTGGTGCCCCTGGTACCCTCAGCCCTGGCTGAGGTCCTTGACCGCGCCCAGGTACCTTCCTGAAGTCCACAGGATAAAAATAACTGAGCTGTTGGTGCCTGGTGTGACTGCATGATAGTAACAAACATGCTTTAAGAGCTGCTGCAGTTCTCTCCATGAGTTGACGGGTTTGATTTGAAGCCTGGTCCTGCTGGTTCAGTCAGCCGTGCAGTAAAAACTTGGGCTTGCTGTGGATTTGACGGCCTTCCTGTTTAAAACTCACCCTGTGTTGTTATATGTGCTCGCAGGGTGAAAAGTATTTGTGGTCAGTTTGATGCCTTGATGCCAGATTTAAGGAACAGGAAATTTGTCTGAGCTGTTTTTGATGTGTTTGGTTGTGTGTGCGTTTGCATGTGAACATGTATTCGTCTAGCTGACCCAGTACTTCCATTTTGCTGTGACTTTGAGGTTGTATCCCGTTGAGGTCGACTGTTAAGTGGATTTTTTTAATTAATCAGCCGTTACCAACCTCCATCCCCCGGGGAAAACAATTTACAACGTCGGAAATTAACAATCTTTATTAGAAAACTGAATAACTGTTGAACTAAACATCCAAGTCAAAGTAATAAATACCTCGATAATAAATAAACATGGATCACTGAATATAAAACCGGTGGAGGCTGCGGAGCCATCGGCCACTATCGGAGTCAAGTTCGGCTGATAACAATACTTGGACAACCTCTAGTATCCCATCAACATACATAGAGTATGACTGCCTGGAAGAAGAGCATCCTGACTACTGTCCCACAGAAAATTAATTTCTACATGTGCACCAAGTTATGGGTGTTACAGGTGAGGCAGGTGATAACTGCAGATAATTTCAGAGCCAGCTTGATGCTGGTTTGACATAGCTCACATTATAAGAGTGAACGTCTTTGTAATTAAACTAACTATGAGTGACATTTTGTAACGTCTTCTGCATGTAAGTGTTAAAATATCATCCCAGATCCCTGTACTTTGAAGTCAATAAAGCGTCCCAACTAAATATGATAAGGTGACTTTAAAGGCCCTGGTTCTGATGTTCATGCACTGCATCCTGAAAATGTTTGCGTGGGTTTCTATGCAGCAGTATTAATGACAGAACTCTCCCTTTATGCTCTTATTTTCACTTAAACTTAGTCGACTTTCTTAACCCAAAGGTGTTTTCCTTGTAGTGATGGAGTCCGTTGTTTGACAAACACTTTTCTTTTTCACCCCCCTCCAGAAGCCTCTCCGTTACCGGCGAGCCATCAGCTACGACAGTAAGGAGTACTATGTCCGCTTGCTGTCTGGAAACCCCGGCATGTACCAGCACTCTGTGGAGCACACCACAGAAGGAGAGACCACACAGCATGAGCCCGAGCACGGAGAGGACACCATCGCAAGAGTCAAAGGTACAGAGACGATACCAGGGAATACTTTGTTGTAACTTGAAAAGGTTCTTAGCAGTTTTTTTGCTCTAAGCTCTTCCTTTTGGAGTGTTGCTTCATCTCTGACATGATGCTGTTACCGTGCCCTCCAGGCCTGGTGAAGGCTCCTCTGAAGAGGTCTCGGTCCACAGCGGACGGGGCAGACGAGGACAGTCAGGAGCAGCTTCAGGAGCAGCTGTTGGAGTCAGGAGGCCCCGAAGAGGAGCAGAGGACCGACAATACGTCTCTGCTGCGCCTCCTGGAGGAGGGAGAGAAGGTCAGGAAGGGACACTCAGACATAATTAAATCACGTTGTTTACTACTCCAATTTCATCACTGCTGGAGGCTAAAATCAGTGTCCAGTGTTTCACACAGAGCCTTTTAAAAATGAATTTATATTGTGTGGTGGAGAAAATGTAATTTGTTAATCTGTGCTGAAACATATCAGTGATATAACCTTATTTTCTGCACCTGCTATTCTTTTATATTTTCTAAGTATTAGGGATTTATGTATTAATTAAATTAGAGCTGAGTTTATTTTCATTGCAGCATACAAGTACAGATTTTGTATCTGTCTTTTTTTTTGGCATAGCACTACCTTTCTTAAAGTCCATCTCCACTCAAAAAAATTAGTTTATCTGATGTTTATTACCCATTAAATATTTGATCTTGACTATACTGACTTGTATCTGTGGAAAGTTTGTCACTGGAAAGGTATTTTCACACTCCTCTACTTAAAGGACAACTTCGGTATTTTTTAACCTGGGCCCTATTTCCCCATGTGTATGTGTGCGTATGATTCATAGGTACAACTAGTACTAAAATTGGTTCAGTATTGAGGGAGATGGATGCAACCGGGAGCTGCGAAACGAGCTAAAACGGTAACAGGGGCAAATGCGTCCCGTATGCATCCCGATTGGATGTCTTCTTTTCTTCGGCTGGCAGTAGTCATCTTGGGAGAAGTGAGCACTGCAGACCCGATGGTCTGCAAGGCACAGTGTCTGGACAGAAGTGTTAGCATCCATTTGTAGCACAACTAGCCACAACTTCAGCATCTTGCCGTCCGACAAAGGCAGCCTGTGAAAGCTGTACGGGGTGTTGCGCAACATCCTGTTCTTGCAATTCGGATAAGCACAAACACGAACCATTGTTTTCAATCGATGCAGTAAAACTCTCAACTGTACTCCGGGACAACCAGTGCCACTCTGAGCGGCGCTCAGCATGGCTCCTCTGTTTTCTTCCGGCAACAAGCAAAGCTCTCGCGAGATGACATCACAGCCGGAAGGAGGTGAAGGGTAAGGGAAACGCTTAGTATGCTATCTACAGAGATAACACTGGCGATCTGAACCGGTCAGTGGCGAAAAAAAGCACTTTTAATGCACAAACTTATACGGGACACATTTGCCCCCGTTACCATTATGTCTTAGTTACAACATGATTGAGCTAACTGGAGTAGTTTCATGTCGTATCCGACAACGGGCTGACGTCCTGATGTTAGCTTTGCTGCTGCTGTTAGCTGTCCCTGTCAGCTGCAGCCACTGATGCTTTCTAGACATCGTGACTTCCCATAACTGAATACATACCACACATAGCAACACAAAACTGCTTTGCTAGCTCAATCATGTTGTAACTAAGATATCCGCTGGAAAAAATATTTTTTTCACAGGCCATTTAGTGAGTTTTTTTTAGATGGCGGCGGAAGCTATATGAACGAGCTAACCCTCGTCTACTGAGTTTTAAAAATGCCGGCTATTTTGTTGCTTTCTGTTGACGTCACATCCCTCCTTGAGTATATCCAGTCAGCACCAAGTAAACCCCAAGCCCCAGTCAGGAGTTTCTCGGGGCCGTTCTGAGTACCTACTCCGAGGCAGGGACTTGTTTAGCCCCTGTAAAAGTTCCAGAACTCTGTCCTTCGGGGGTGGTTCCTGCGGTGGAGACATGCACCAACGGCTCCGGCCCCGTAAAATTACCCCGAAGTTCCTGCGGTGGAAACGGGCCTATAGAGTTAATGGAGACACCGCTAACGGCTAACAGCTAACGGTTAGCCCAGCTAATCTACGATAACCATAGTATTTACAAAATGTCACATCCCTCCTTGAGTATATCCAATCAGCACCAAGTAAACCCCAAGCCCCAGACAGGAGTTTCTCGGGGCCGTTCTGAGTACCTACTCCGAGGCAGGGACTTGTTTAGCCCCTGTAAAAGTTCCAGAACTCTGTCCTTCGGGGGTGGTTCCTGCGGTGGAGACACGCACCAACGGCCCTGGCCCTGTAAAATTACCCTGAAGTTCCTCTAACGTCTTGTCAGCCACTGCCAGTTTGCCTACAAGCTAAAAAATAGGGTTAGGCGGTATCACAATATGATGGTGTACCAGGGTATTTAAAAATCCTGACGGTATAAATTTCTGTACATTAATAAATACAGACGCTCATCTTTCTTTTAACCTCATACTGAAGAGTTTGCAATAAGTTTTTTGGCATGTAGTGCACATCATGTGCCACCAGAGGTCAGTCTAGTGCAACAGGCAGCTGAGATGACAGTGAGTGGTGGGGATAAAGTTATAGTAATATGAACGGCTGGCCCATGTTGTGCCCTCAACAGCAGAAAGAGACCAGAGGGGAAAGAGCTCATGTTTAAATCTAACTTGGTGAATTAATTGTGAATGGTGAATTTCGACCAAACGAATCGCCGCACATTGATACCGCCATCTCCTGTATACCCCCTGTATTTTAAGTTCATCTGAAAGCGAGGGACGTCATAACTGCACTGCAGCGCCACGTCAAAGTAAAAACAAAACTATGTCAATATATATTATAAATAGGCTATAGTGTGAACAGAAAGAGGACTGAGGCCCCATCAGAGCTGAAGTTGACCGGAAAGAGAACTGAGTCCTCTTTCTAATGAACTGACAATGTGAACCTTATGGCTTAAATTTCTGGGTCATGTTAATTTCCTACATTGTTTTGTTCACACAAACACTAACAGGACACAACAGCCTATTAATCAAACACTGCTTCTTCCCACGAGCAGCTCAACACATTTGGATTAAGTTCTTTGCTCAAGGCCATATCTGAGTGGGGGGAAAGTATGTCTTCCTCCTCATTTATTCCTTCTTCGCTGATTTTTGCCTGGAGGAATTCAGGCTCATGACTTCTCATGAGGAAGCTGCTTTTTCTAAACTTTAGGTAATTAATGTGCTGTTGTTTCTTACACTTGCTGTTCCAGATTCAGCACATGTACCGCTGTGCCAGGGTTCAGGGTCTGGACACCAGCGAGGGTCTGCTGCTGTTTGGGAAAGAGCACTTCTACGTCATCGATGGCTACACCATGACCGTGTCCAGAGAGATCAGGGACATCGACACGCTGCCCCCCAAGTAGGTCCAAGCTTCTGTATCTGTCACTTTACATGATGGTCCGGACACCTGTAGGAGAATCAGGATATTACACCAGCGCTGCGTGATTAATCCTGAAGCTGCAGCTGACAGATGACACACTTAATGTACTTTCCTTCCCCGAATAAAAGATGACATCATTGCTCTAGACGCTGCAGTGGGAGTTTCTGCTGCTGGAGTGATGTAATGCTGCTGATAGAGCATGCGTTGTGAAAACTCAGCAGAGATATGACATGTTTATCTTTTTTTAGGGATCTTACTCTGCCTCTTCCTTCGAGACACGACGTGAAAATTACCAACAGATGCTGCTTTGATTTCACTGTGTTTACCTGCAGGTGTTGTACTGTTTTACCCTCTCGTCAGCGTCCACACAGTCAAAACATGGAGTCTTCGAGGACTGAATTGATAAATAAATTAGCTCGTAGGTTGATAAAAACAAATATGTAATGATGACAGTTTTATTAATTGTCATTTATCAAATAAAATGACAAAAACTGTCAAAGATGACAATTTTCTCTTCCTTTTTCACTGGAAATTAATTTTTATGACTGTTAATTGAAGTCACTTTAGGCTGAGATTATTTTTGATTTTTTGATTTTATTTGAAAGTATTTTAGATATTTTATAAATTAATTATTCATTGAATAATGCATTAAATAATTGCCACTTTGATTAATAACAAAAGTAATTAGCTAACCCCAGTGTCACCTACATTTTCTTTCAGTTATGTTGCATTTTTTTGCCATGAAATGGAATCACATCAGTCATTTTCTTTTTCTTTGTCTTGAATATCTTGGTGTTTTTAGCATTAAGAAATAGATTGACATAATCTCTCTGTAAGGGAAGCTGTGAGTGTTTGTGACGTGACTTTAAGCCTTTGTCGATAAAAGTGATTTATGGGTAAACCGTAATGCATAACTGTCTGTTGTTTATCCAGTTTGCATGAGGCCATCATCCCCAGAGGAGCGAGACAAGGACAGAGCCAGCTGAAGAGAACCTGCAGCATCTTCGCCTACGAGGACATCAAGGAAGTGCACAAGAGACGCTACCTGCTGCAGGTCAGCATCCACACATACACACATGCTGCAGCACCAATAAACACCATCTTAATAGACATTTATATTGAGTATCTTAACATGCTCTGGGTATGGCAGCATCAACACTCCACCTCTTTCATCTTTAGTGTTTACCACTGATGATTAAATGTCTTGTGTGTCGTCACCTTTCAGCCCATGGCGGTGGAAGTTTTCTCTGCAGATGGAAGAAACTACTTGTTAGCATTCCAGAAAGGAGTCCGCAACAAAGTTTACCAAAGGTACTGAATACAAATAGAAACACCAAGCTGTGACTGCATGCTGCTGAGCTGCCACTGTTGCTCTCACATTTCAGTAACAAAGAATAGTTAGTAAAAACTTCTTTGAGGAGAAAGGGGGATTTTACAAAGGTCACTACTGTGTAATATTAAAATAGAATTCTCAGATTAGACAGCAAGCCTCTCATAAAGCATCTCATCGCCAGAGTATTTCTACTTTGAGAAGATCACTGTAATACAAGTCAGTTTCATGAGGTTACACGTGCAGTGTAAACATAGTCAAACGGAACTGTAATATTTTTGTTTAATTTTATAATTAACTCCCCGCAGGTTCTTGGCAGTGGTGCCTTCACTGGCTGACAGCTCCGAGTCAGTTTCAGGCCAGAGGCCCAACACCAGCGTCGAACAAGGGTAACACCTCCTCCCCTCTCCTCTCTGTCCCCAACACACAGTTTTTAATGAAATGTTTGACCTTCTTTAAAGGTTGTGAGATGATTTATGGAATGTGCAGATAAGTATTCATAGTTTAATTTGTTTTTCATGTATTTTTCTAAATAATGTTTATGGATGTCTGTTGTAATTAATCAAATCAGTGACCGAAAAAAGAAAAGCAAAGAAAAGAGAACAAGAGTAATTTGGTATCACACCATCCTACATATATTATATGCAGCAGTTGCTTTGTAACAAAATGCTTTCCAGTGCTTTTCACTGCCCACATGCTGAAAAACAGCAAAGTCGTGAGCTGTTTTAACTAAACCTCCTCTGTGTGCTGGTGTTTTCCAGATCGGGGCTCCTCAGCACGCTGGTCGGTGAGAAGTCAGTGACTCAGAGATGGGAGGTAAGAATCTAGATGTGTTAGTCTAAGGCTGTTTGGTTCGGTTCAGTAGAACTCAAGTTCGTTTGCCCCCTCAGTGCGGTTCGTTTGGGCAGGTGTGAACACAGCAGTCACACTCAGGTGTGCGCCAAAACAACCAGACCGAGACCTTCTTGAAGAGGTCGTCTCGGTCCGGTTACAAACAAACTCTGGTGCGGTTTGTTTGTGTTCAGTGAAACAACTTATAAGCAATTATAAGCAGCACTGATGTATTTTCTACCATCTGTTTTCTAGCGAGGAGAAATCAGTAACTTCCAGTACCTGATGCATCTGAACACGCTGGCAGGACGATCCTACAAAGACCTGATGCAGTATCCCGTCTTCCCCTGGATTCTGGCTGACTATGACGCAGAGGTTTGGGACAATATCAGTGGCAATTAAAAGTGTTAACCACAAGAAAAGCCGATGCCTGTTCTGTCATTAATCCTGTTTTGGTCACGTTGTTAACCAGGAGCTGGACCTGAACAACCCCAAGACGTTCCGTAACCTCGCCAAGCCGATGGGTGCCCAGACTGACGACAGACTGACGCAGTACAAGAAGAGATACAAGGACTGGGAAGACCCCAACGGTGAGACCTTTGAGATGAGTCAACATTTGACTGCATTTAACAGGAAGGAGTCAGAGAGATGACTTTTATCTGTACTCATTCAAGTTAAATAGACACTGAGTAAAGAAAAAAGAGCCAGCTCATTTGAAGCCAGTGACACTCGAGGCGTTTGCACACTAAATTGGTTATTTTACCCAATATGTCAAACTTTAAAAAGCATATATGAGGCCTGTATTAAAGAATGAGTGTAGTCTTTGGTTGTTTATAGAAAAACATCAAACCCAAATTCACAATTTAATGTGGCACATGTTTTATTTGACCCATCCAACCTGCTCTAAACCTTTGAAATTCAAAACAACAGTAAATAAAAGGAAGTTCTGCCATGACAGAGAAGTCTGTAGGTGCAATTCTGTCACAGAAGTTTGAATTCTGAAGTTGAAAGTTGTGTTTTCACTGTTCAGTGTAAGTGACTGTGTTGTTTTCTGTCCTGTCAGGTGAAACCCCAGCGTACCACTACGGCACCCACTACTCATCAGCCATGATCGTAGCCTCCTATCTGGTCCGGATGGAGCCCTTCACACAGATTTTCCTCAGACTTCAGGTTTGATCTGAACTTTCCTCGCCTCCTGAATGTTCTGCAGTTAGAGTATAATAAATTGTTTATTTGATGAGATAATTGAAGTTTAAATCTGATCATGGATGGTTGTTTTTAGTCCAGCATTTTAAATTTTTGCAGGGTTTCTTTTCCTTCTCTGACACATGTTTTGTTTCCTTAGACTCTGGCAGATTTTAAGGTCTGATGGAAGCATCTTAAAGTATTACAAATTACTTTTAATCCAAAAAAATCCTCATCTGCTCCTGCTCAATTTGTGTCTTTGAGTCTAAGCCAACACGTCTTTACATAGTCTTTCTCAATAAACTAGCTAGCTATATAACAGCTATATTTGATCTCCCTTCCTCTCTCTGACCACAATTTTAGTGAGCTGTAATAATAATAGTAATAAACTTTATTTATATAGCACCTTTCAAAACAGTTACAAAGTGCTTTACAAAACCGAATAAAAGACAAAGCAATAAAACAAGATAAAAGCAGTAAAAATAGAATTCACATAATGGAGTAAAAGCACGCAATAATAAAGCAGTTAAAATCCCTGAAAGTCAAGTTTAAACAAGTAGGTTTTCAGTAGTGATTTAAAAGTTGAGGAGCTCTGACTGCAAAGGCTCTTTCACCTTTGTGAATTAATGTAGACCTCGGAACAACAAGACACGATGCGTCAGAAGATCTCAGGGTGTGAGAAGGAGCATAGGGCAATGATAGGTCTTTTCTATAACTTGGAGCCTCTCAGGGCTTTGTAAGTAATCAATAAAATCTTAAATTCAGTTCTAAAAGCAACAGGTAACCGGTGTAGGGAAGCCAGGATTGGTGTGATGTGGTCATGTTTTCTAGTCCGAGTCAAGATCCTTGCAGCAGAGTTTTGTATGAGCTGAAGGCGTGAGAGGGATTTTTTACTGATGCCAGAGAGCAAAGAGTTGCATTAATCTAAACGACTGGTTTCGAACTACTGAATTTACGTTTGTCTAAACTGAGGGCTTGATCGAAAATAACACCAAGATTAGACCTTTAGACTGTGGTGGAGTCGTCCACAAAAACTCCTGCAAATGCCGCTTGCATTTCCTCTAAGACCAGTTTAGCAGTTTCTCCCAGAAAGCTATGGTTTTTGTAAAACGGGTATGTCTTGCAGCTGAAACTGTTCCTTCTTTGCCTCTTCTTCAGCCTCACCCTCTCCAGACGTCCCTGATGTCCCAATAGCAAAAAATTAAAACGAAGGAGTTGTCAATCAAAACATGATTTGCCACGCTTACACATTCTTAAAAAATGGCCTTAACAGCAAAATAAGATGTTTTTAAGTAGATTCACTTAGATTTCTGTGGATGCTTAATGAGATTTGATGTCATACACGCATGTTTACAATTTCAAGCCAAATTTCTAGTGGCTTTGCGTTCACATAAAAGCCCAGACGACAAACTGTTGATGCTCTCAAATGTCTGGACCCTAATGTCAGACCATCTGCCCGTGTGTCTGTGTGATCACCAGGGAGGTCATTTTGACCTGGCTGACAGGATGTTCCACAGCGTGCGTGAAGCTTGGCTCTCCGCCTCCAAACACAACATGGCCGACGTCAAGGAGCTCATCCCTGAGTTCTTCTATCTGCCCGAGTTCATGCTCAACTCCAACAACTTTGACCTGGGTCAGTATCAGTGAGCGTGGACAATAGCTCAGGAACGCACGAGTCAAACTGACCCAGAGATAATTGAGTGCATGAATATTAATGTTCTGTCTGCCTCCTGTTGTTTGATGTTCCAGGTGCCAAGCAGAATGGCACCAAGCTGGGTGACGTCATCCTGCCACCTTGGGCCAAGGGCGACCCCCGGGAGTTCATCAGAGTCCACAGAGAGGTACGAAATAAACCCACTTGTGACCGTTTAAGCAGATGGAGTTTCAGTGATGACACATTAACCTGTCTCCACCTTTCTCCAGGCGTTGGAGTGCGACTACGTATCGGCCCACCTCCATGAATGGATCGACCTGATTTTCGGCTACAAGCAGCAGGGTCCACCGGCCGTGGAGGCGGTCAACGTCTTCCACCACCTGTTCTACGAGGGTCAGGTGGACATCTACAACATCAACGACCCGCTCAAGGAGACGGCCACCATCGGCTTCATCAACAACTTCGGACAGATCCCCAAACAGGTCGGATATCGGCTAATGTCTAAACACTGAATCAACTGCTGTTGTACCACTGCCACTAATGCTAATATCAAAAAGCACTACTAATGTAACTACTAGTAAGACCAATAAAAGGTTTACTTTTACAACTTGTACTACAATATAACTACTGCTAGGAGCAGGGGTGTAACGGTACACAAAAGTCTTGGTTCAGTTTAGAAGTCAGGGTTCGTTGTGTGACGCCGACACCCCAGAGGAACCTTACGTCTGGAGATATTGTGGTTGTAACGGATCCATCTGCCCCACAAGCATCATGGCTATGGGAAGAGTCTTGGAGGCTTTCCATGACAAGAATGGACTTGGACTGAAAATACAAAAGAGTATAAGTTCGATGTCTGCAGACTGTACGATGAAAGCGCCTACTGAATCACAGGCTACGACGTACAATAGCTTCCCAAACTGAGTGTGCAAGGATGCTGCATGGGCGAGCTGCTATCTGTCTGTTTGTTTGGGTTTAGCACCAGTGCGTCATTTCATGCTGACTTTCTATGGTTGGCCAATAGACATAAAGAACAGCAGTCACTGTGAGATGGTCAACCCAAATTTCTGACACTGTCTTTGATCGCAAGATTGTGACAACAGCTGCCCTTGCACCTCTCTCACTGTGCTGCGATGTAGGACCTCCGCTTTAGAGCCACGACCAAAGATATCTCCATGTTTCTTTCACTTGGTCATCTTTAGTCTGGGACAGCCCAAAATCATACAGTATGTATGGGCTTTAAATAACATCTGTCCTTTTCACTGGCAGCTGTGTTTTTAACTACACTGGCAGCAGCAAGCGTGATAACGTCCTCAACATGCCACCCTAAGGCCAACATTTTTTCCTCACTAGCAGTTGTCTTCCTGTTTTCCATCCGTCCACCAACTATTTTCCAACAATTTTGATTGGTTGTTAGACAAACACATGACTCATAACAGATCAAGAGTTACTTATTCACAGGTTCATCAGCCAAAGTGCGTTATCACGACGTGTTTGTGGCAAATTGTCGCCTATTAAAGCCCAGTTACAGGAGCTTTAATCCAGTGTGAGGATGCACTAACTACCACAGCCAGAATCTATTAGCATTTGGCTATTGGTAGAAAAAAATAGTCCTTCACTTTATGTCTTTGCTCACCGACTGATGGTGTGTGTGTGTGTTTCAGCTGTTTAAGAAGCCCCATCCTCCCAAACGGGTACGCAGTAAAGCCAACGGTGACATAGCGAGCATCCCTCCGAGCTCCAACAGCGACAAGATCTTCTTCCATCATCTGGACAATCTCAGACCTTCTCTAGCACCTGTCAAAGGTACATGTACACACACACACACAGTCACAAATCATCAGTCCAGTGTAGTATCAGCACCAGTTAAGCTCCAACTATCCCTTTACCGAAACCCCAACAGTGCCGCACTCTGTCCATTATACCTCACAGTGCATGAACCTCTTCAGACTCAGCACTCACGTAAGTCTTTGTGTTCCCCGTGTGCAGAGCTGAAGGAGCCTGTGGGACAGATCGTGTGCACTGATAAGGGCATACTTGCTGTGGAGCAAAACAAAGTCCTGGTTCCCCCCACCTGGAGCAAGACCTTCGCCTGGGGCTACGCCGACCTCAGCTGCCGTCTGGCTAACTACGAATCTGACAAGGTAACATTTATATAACAAATACAGTTTGTCAGAGATTTAAACCTGCGACTCGTCTTCTCTCAAATATATACAAATAATATTACTGTTTAATTAAAACATGGACGACTGTAGATTCACCTTGAAGCTGACAAGTGAATGTGAAAACTTATTAAAGACAATGTCTCCCCCTGCTGGTGCTTTATAGAAATGCACCTTCCTCACTGCGCTGAGCTCTCAGGTGTTACAGCAGCAGCCATTACAGACGTCTAATGCAGTTCTCTTGATAGTGCTTTTATTGCCCTATTCTCTTTACATTTGTCACAATAATGAGGACTTAAAAAGAAACTAGCCAGCTGTGTGTGTGCTGATCAGTGTGGAGGTGTTTGTTACTGAGATATGGACAAAGTTAAAGCCCCAAACAGCCAGAACTGACAAGTCATCATCTGCATTTCTCCACCTCTGCACCCCTCAGCCAACCAGTCTCTAATCTCCTGTTTCAGGCGCTGGTGGTGTACGAGTGTCTGTCAGAGTGGGGTCAGATCCTTTGTGCCATATGTCCAAACCTGAAGCTGGTCATCACCGGCGGCACCAGCACCGCCATCTGTGTGTGGGAGACAGGAACCTCCAAAGAGAGGGCCAAGTCACTCACGCTCAAACAGGTAAGAACACAAACAAAACTGGACACAAGGCCACGGAGCGGCGTCAGAAAGTTGGGTCTGTTAAACATCTTTGTTCTGTCATAGGCGCTGCTGGGCCACACGGACGCTGTGACGTGTCTGACAGCGTCGTCAGCGTACCACATTGTTGTCAGCGGCTCGCGGGATCGAACCTGCATCATCTGGGACCTCAACAAGCTTTCCTTCGTCACGCAGCTCAGGGGCCACAGGGCGCCCGTCTCTGCTCTGTGTATCAATGAACTGACGGTGAGCTGGAGGACGAAGTTCTCTTCTGTCTCTGTAGAAATAACGTTACATGTCCTTTTAGTCCAGGACGATCATCATGAGCTAAAGAGCAAAGTCATAGAGAGGATCATTTACATCATGTGTCATAAAGCTCTTCAGCTGATGGACAAACATAATGTGTGTGTACATGAGTGTGTGTGTGTGTGTAGGGGGACATTGTGTCCTGTGCAGGCACATATATTCACGTGTGGAGCATTAACGGCAGCCCCATCGCCAGCGCCAACACCTTCACAGGGCGCAGCCAGCAGATCCTGTGCTGCTGCGTGTCAGAGATGAACGAGTGGGACACGCAGAATGTCATCGTCACCGGACACTCGGACGGCGTTGTCAGGGTAACAATGCCTACTTTAATCTGACATACGTTATTGCGCTTTTTCAGGTATCAGTGATTTTCCAAATGTTGATTTTAGTCCAGCTCAGAAAACTTCCATTCATGCAACATTCAGAGACTCACAGGTGATGCAGCTACATGTCAGAGACACAGGTAAACATAGGCTTCATAGATTGATACCACGTAATGTTGCAGACAGAAATACACTCACCCACCACTTTATTAGGTACACCTTGCTAGTACCAGGTTGGATCCCCGTTTTAATTCTTGGTGGCATGGATTCAGAAAGGTGCTGGAAACATTCCTCAGAGATTTTAAGATCAGAAGATGGGTACACTGTGGTCATAAAGGGATGGACACGGTCAGCAACAATACTCAGGTAGGCTGTGGTGTTTAAACCATGCTCAGTTGGTACTAAGAAAATCTCCCCCAGCCAAGATAATCCCCCCCACACCATTACACCACCACCAGCAGCCTGAACCGTTGATACAAGGCAGGATGGATTCATGATGCCAAATTCTGACCATCTGAATGTGGCAGCAGAAATCCAGACTCATCAGACCAGGCAACGTTTTTCCAATCTTCTATTGTCCAGTTTTGGTGAGAAAACCAGTGTGAATTGTAGCCTCAGTTTCCTGTTGTTAGCTGACAGGAGTGGCACCTGGTGTGGTCTTCTGCTGCTGTAGCCCATCTGCTTCAAGGTTGGACAAGGTGTTGTTGCTTCAGAGATGGTCTTCTGCAAACCTTGGTTGGAACCAGTGCTTATTTGACTTCCTGTTGCCTTTCTATCATCTTGAACCAGTCTGGCCATTCTCCTCTGACCTCTGGCATCAACAAGGCATTTTGGCTCACTGGATATTTGCTCTTTTTGGGACCATCCTCTGTAAACCCTAGAGATGGTTGTGCTGAAAATCCCAGTAAATACTCAGACCAGCCCGTCTGACACCAACAACCATGCCACGTTCAAAGTCACATAAATCACCTTCCTTCATCATTCTGATGCTCAGTTTGAGCTTCAGCAGCTCGTCTTCACCGTGTCTACATGACTAAATGCATTGAGTTGCTGCCACGTGATTGTCTGATTAACTATCTGCCTTAACAAGCGGTTGAACAGGTGTACCTAATAAAGTGGCTGGTGAGTGTAAGAATATAAGAGGCAACAATTCAGAGTTATAAACAGCACTGCAGAGTATTCGCTGTAATCCCTGTTCCTGCCACGTCATCAAGGAGTTAATTGTACCGCGACTTAATTAACTAAAACACCAAACCCTTTCTTTAAATTTGTCTTGTAGTTCTGGAGAATGGAGTTCCTCCAAGTCCCAGAAACCCCTGCTCCAGAGCCAGTAGAGCCAGATGTGCCTGACTGCTGTGGCGAGGAGAAGATTGGTGAGTCTTAACGGGAAAAATACCTGATGAGAGGTTTCTGTGTCAGTAATATAGCGACATGTCCCAGAATGTAATATAATTTTAACATAAAGTTGCAGATACTTTGTTGGTTCACCTTTGTTTGCTAGCTTATGAGTATATGCACAATAATTTCACTGTGAAAATGTGTATGTAAAAGAGTTATGAATTTTTTCCGTCTCACAGAGGGTGGCGAGAGTCACAACGGCGATGAGGACAGCAGTGAGTCGGACGGAGACGAGCCCAGTCTGAGCCAGGAGCCCAAAGCACCAAGTAACCCCTCCACAGGTGGAGGCAGCCAACCAGGCAGCACCGTCCACAGACCCAGAGGTACCAACCAACACTTCCTCTTATCAGCATTCACAGACTGTTTTACAGGTTTAGCAAAATTATCGTTAAGCAAAGGTATTGTGTTTTTGATGAAGCTGAAGCCACGCTAACATTTACATTTCTGTCACTATGCTCCCTTTAAGGTCCCCCAGCTCGACCAGGAGCCTCGTGGTCGATGGACAGCAGCTCTGACGACTCTCACCGCTGGTCCGACACTCTCAGCATCGACGAGAAGGACGGCTTCGTGTTCGTCAACTACTCTGAGGGCCAAACCAAGGTCCCTCACCCTCACTCAGCTCACCCAGGTCAGGGCGCAATGCTGCAGCCTCTCCAGCCCTCCACCATGGACGCACGGACGTATAACCAGCTCAGGGCCGGTGGGTGACCCCAGTTATTAGAAATGTTTTTTACAAAATTGACGATTAAAACTCTGACAACGATTATCAGCTCTTGAGCCAGTCAGAAAAACAAATCCTAAAGAGTCCACTGATCTGATGTCAGTGTGTTTGTCTTTGTGTTTAAGTGTTTATGTTTGTGTGCTCGCAGGCTACAGATGGGAGCGCCAGCTGGTCTTCCGGAGCAAACTCACCATGCACACGGCGTTTGATCGCAAGGACAATGCTCAGCCCGCAGAGATCACATCCCTCGCCATCTCCAAGTAAGAGAGCTGAGCGTCAGGCGCCAAACTGACAAAGATGAATCCTTTGATTTTGTTTTTGTACCTTGTAATATTTGTTTGAGAGCTTTTTCAAAGACATCCTCGCTGAATTATTCTCCTCCCTCTTCCCCTCTTTTGTCCTTCCCCCTGTTACCGTCCTCTCTGCAGGGACCACAGTAAGATCCTGGTGGGCGATGGTCGCGGTCGGGTCTTCAGCTGGTCAGTTAGCGACCAGCCAGGCCGTTCGGCGGCCGACCACTGGGTGAAGGACGAGGTGGTGGACAGCTGCTCCGGCTGCACAGTTCGCTTCTCCCTCACAGAGCGACGCCACCACTGCAGGAACTGCGGGCAGCTCTTCTGCCAAAAGTGAGTGAAATCACAGAAAGTTTAACAGCATGTTGTCCTTATTTTCCTCTTTCACTGATACTTCACCTGCTGCTTGAGTCTTGAGTCTCACCTAAACATGTATTTGCAGGTCTTACTTATACATCAGTACTGTGATAATTTAGACTGAAGCCTCAATAAATGTGTACAGTATATTCAGCATTGATTAACCCACTGTAGCCCCGTGTTGTTTGCTTATATTTCTTCTTTTAATGCGTGACATGAATGTATGACATGAGGTAAAATAAGCAGCTTTAAGATCAATTTAGGCTCTTTTTTTTAGTCATTTTTCATGGTTTATTTCAGTGGTTTTCAGACTTTTTGTGACCAAGGCATGTCAAAGGGTAGGCCAAAATCTCAATGCACACCTATATATATCTGTGCAGGATAGTTTCTGTGACATGTGTTATCACTCTTATCACGAGAGGATGGCGGAAGAAATACCTGCACACCAATTCAGCCGAGCTGGACAGCCACCAAAAAAGTTCACAGGCTGAGATCCATGCCAAAAAATTGCAAAAATAATAATAAAAAGTGATAAAAACAGCAGCAAACACTTCAGTCCCTGACTATCATCGGTGCTCTTACTCACGTTATCACGACATAAATATTTTTATTTACTAATATCAATTGGCAACCAACTATTACTCATGAAATATGTATTAACAAAATGATTCAAGAATTCATTTTAAATGTTTAAAAATTACATCAAAGCACCAAAAACACATCCATTTAAACAGGGAAAAAATGTAAGATAACGTGATGTGTCACACACTTTTAATTCCCTCGCATGAACAGCAACAAATAGGTTCCCTGTGAAGGTTTTTAAAATGAAATTACTTTTTTTCCTAGCTCAAGTTTGCCTCTTTATTAGGAAAGGGGTGCACACAACATACTGATAGAGTCGATTAAAGATTCATTTATTACTTTTTGTGTAGGCCCAGTTGAATACTGCAATGATAATGTGTCGATATCACAAAATCCCACACCACACCTGGCATCATTTGAGCGCCACTGGCACAGGTAACGCCCCCTGAACACTACATGAGGGCAGCTGCTGTGCCCTGCTGAGAGATGCCACGAAAAAAGGCTGAATGAAGAAGAACTTGTGGAGCAGTGACATCGACATGCTTTAATTAACTTAATCAAAGTAAACATGATTTTCCAGAGTGCCAGAACTGAAGTTGCAGGAAAATCAAAAACCCAGCAATGACAAAACATTTGTGATGCTGTAAATATCGCACAGTAACTGACATCCCAGCTGACACTGGGTGAGAGGCAGGGTTCACCCTGGACAGGTCACCAGACTATCACAGGGCTGACACATAGAGACAGACAACCATTCACACTCACATTCACACCTACGGACAATTTAGAGTCACCAGTTAACCTGCATGTCTTTGGACTGTGGGAGGAAGCTGGAGCACCTGGAGGAAACCCACGCTGACACGGGGAGAACATGCAGCTCAACACAGAGGGGCTCCCCCACCCTGGGGTTAGAACCAGGAACCCTCTTGCTGTGAGGTGACAGTGCTAACCTCTGCACATGCTAACGTCTGGGAAACAACATTGGTGATTTCCCACAGACCTCAGATCATATTCCTGCTGGAACATGTCCGGGTTTTTCAAGAAATACTCTGTTCCAGTCGAAACCCTTAAACGCATGTATGAACCTGAGAATGAGTAGAACAGGTCGTCTTTAACTCTCCTCCGTGTCTTTGCTCTGCAGGTGCAGTCGCTTCCAGTCAGAGATCAAACGGCTGAAGATCTCGTCACCGGTGCGAGTTTGTCAGAACTGTTACTACAACCTTCAGCATGAGCGAAGCGCCGAGGACGGCTGCAGAAACTGAGCTCCGCCCGCCACCTCCACCTCACCCCGAGGACTCCTTCCTGAGGAGCGTTTCATTCCTCCGACTGCCTTGTTGTTCCCTCGACACCTCCCGTATAAAAGGCTCTCCCTCCAAACCCCCCCTTTATCCTCTCGTACGTCCAGTAACCACATGTACTGTAACACACTGACAGAATGTAACCGCAGGGAGGGAGTGTCGGCTGGGAGAAAACGAGGATAGCAGATCGAAAGGAAACTCAATCACCACTTTGACCACCTGCACTCACCTGGAGGAGGGAAAAAAGAAAGAAGCAAAAACACCATCGATGGCGACACGGCACGCTTGAATCAATCACCCGCCATTTTTGCTTTGAGATCAAGAACCAGGAAAACTCCTCCCTCTGTCACCTGAAGACACAACAGACTTGTGAATATTGTAAATACGTACCATGGCCTTTTTAACTCTCACGAGGAACCAACTCAGAACAAAAAATAAGGTCAATGAGAAAAAAGAAATTGCCTGTAACATAGCGTTGTGACTAACCACTCCTGGCTTTAAAAAAACAAAATGTGTGTAGTCTGCGTCACGAGTCACGGCGAGTCCAGAGGAAGGGATATGAATGTCAATAATTAATGTCTGTGGGTTGACTTCACCAGTGGGTCTAGTTATGCAAAATCTTTTTAAGTTCCTGATCAGTTTTTGTTGTTGTTTACAGATATATTTTGTGAGTGTGTTGCCCACAGTGTCAAACCATCGCCGTCACACAGAGATTTATTATCACATCCCTTTTTTCTTTTATTGGCCAAATTGTTTTGATGAATTATGACGATTTTTTTTAAAATCTATTTTGTCCTTTTTATGAATTCCCATTTGTAGGATTTTGTTATTGTTGCTGCTGTTTGAAGACTGGACACGTTATCATTTCAGATTTTATTTTTAAACCATATCACTCCGTTAATTTCAAGATTTGTTCTGTGAGAGAGGAAACGCCACGCACGCGTTCATCGTCTGTGAAAAATACGAATTAGCTAAAGAAGTCGCATCTCTTTCATGGAGCCTTATGTAGTTACTGTACAGCGTCACTGCAGCTTTCTGAATGCACACGATAAAGGGACTCTTATGTTTATTTCTGTTTTTATTTTCTGTTCTTGTCGGTTTGTGTTCAGGTTTGTCGTCTGCAGACGTTCACTCTGACCCTGTGGCATTATTACAGCACATGTGGCACTCCACACTTTATCAAGTCCTCGTAGAAGATGTTAAACTGCAGGAGCAGCAGCCGAGACAGATGGAGATGTAAATAATCATTTTAACCACGAAATCATGACATTACCTTACACAGGACAAAATCCACTCTAAAATTATAAAAAGAATTTCATGGTGTTTTGTCGACAAAGTCAAATACGTTCACACAGTTGGACAGACTTTTTTTTTCCAGGTAAAAATGTATTTTTTGTATTTTATCAATTATGTGGCCTCCTTATGCTTTCTAATGTGCATAATTTCTTAATCAAGTATGCTCAGAAAACATTTAAATACATCCACGACTTCAGCAAGTTTAAGATTAAATCATTTACTTGCTGAAATTACTTGAATGTGGCCTGGAATTAATTTAGTTATCCTGAATATATTTATCATATTCTATTGGCTTAAGCTCATTTTTGTCAACTGATGGATTTGGTAACACAAAAATTTAGTTTTATTCTGTCTTTAGGGGTCAAAAATATGTCAGAGATACGTAGAAATCACCTGTGGATAAATCTATGGGGTTTAATTTGTGCCAAAAAATCTGATTTTGCACATTTATTTGTGAGGGCTTTTGTTTCCTTTGAGTTTGTCCGGTTATTATCTCTGCTGTTGTGTCACTGTCCATTCTAGAGTCTTCCCATAAATTCATTTTGGAGCAGACAAAATGAGACAAGAGACAAAAAAACCCACACAAAGTCAAAAAAAGGACAAGGACGGTATTAAAGAAAAAGACACGATGAGACGTCTCGTCATCACGATGAAGTCAGAGAAACAGACGAGCAACTGCAGGGATAATGACACAACGATGACAAAGCAAATGCAGATCAGTGTTTTCTTTTTTAATTACTACAACTTTAAGCAACATCAGTAGTTGAGGACAAAATGTAAAAGCAACCATATCCTCCTGTAGAAAGTACTCATTTGAGGACATTTGGACCTAATTATCGTTGACAATGTTTAGTTTTTTATAGCCTACTTAACGGGTCTTATTGATCCCAAATAGCTAGGAGGAGCTAGGCTGGGTGTCAGTAACAAAAACAAAATGTCCTTGGATGCATCACATTTTGGGTTTACCTGACCTTACACTTCATTCTACTTAAGTCAGACCTGTTGTCCTCGTTAGTGGACACTTTTTGTGCCATCTAGTGGTAGTAAGAGCAAACTATACGAATCCATGTAAAAACAAGATGGCAGCCATCTCTGCTAAGTCAGTCTGCAGCCGATCCCGTCACAAAAGTGGACAAGGTCCAAAACCTGATCACATTTTATGGGTGAAACTTGTTTATTTATGGTAAATAATGTTTGTAGTTTGATATGGCAACAAATTTGACCAACTTAAGCAACATTAGGACTTAATTATCATCTCATTGAGGACATTTGGACTTTATTATTGTTGACGATGGTTAGTTTTTATACTTATCAGGTCCCACTGATCCCAAATAGCTAGGAGAAATTAAAAATGCATACCAAACAAAAGTTCGGGTCTCAGGAGGATATTTAACTTTTTTATCTTTATTTCATCTTTTAAATTATCGTCAACAAGAAGTTTGAACAATAGGCAAGGAGATGTGTAAACTCAAGTTTGTCATGAATTTATCGCTATAAAACTGGATGGCTGCTGCTGCTGCTGGGTTTAACAGTCGGACATTAGTGTTTTTGTTTTCATGTAAAGTCTGCACATGTTGTTTTCTCTGTCCTCGTCTCTCTCCATACATGTGTCGATGTTTAGTTCGTGGTTCTGTGGGCAACAACTGCGCATTCAAGCGCTGCTTCCTTTCTTTATTTCCCAGAGATCTTTTTGTTGTTTCCCACTCGTCTTCACAGAGTCTCAAACCTGTAAAAAAGAAAAAGAAATCACATGTCAGATTAAATCTCCACCCCCACAGCTCCCTGACGTCCTGATAATAATATGCACTCTTGTTATTGTCCTTCTATCATTCTGCGTTTACGTACTGTAACTTAGCGTGCAATCATGCCACCTAGCTGAAAAGGCCGAGTCGGCTCCTATCAATCAAGAGTTCCTTCGCACCTTCACGTGTACAAAAAGAAAAGTCAAGAGGAATCACAGGTTTTTATTGAATGCAGTTTTACGTTGTCATTTTAACAGGAAGGTGCATTTCACAGCGGATAAATGAACTGTACAAAGTATTTATGCAATTATAACTGGTTTTAGATTTTTTTAATGATTATTGCGATTTCAGCAAGTTTTGTTACTTGTTGCATGTCTATTAACACAGCTGACTTTCTGTGTCAGTGCATTGTACATGTTCTCGGCATTATATTTTGTTGGGTTTATTCTTTTTGTCTTTGTTTCTCGGAGGCATTGTCTGATGAGTTGTCCTGAGCGAGCGACAGGTTTGTGTACAGAGCCGGAGATCGTGTCCCCAACTCTGGGTGGACTTTTGTACTCTTTATGGAAAAAAAACAAATTAAGGACTAACGAGAGACGATGAAGAAGACGAAGAAAAAAAAGAGAAATCCTGGATTATTTTGGTGGTCTTGTATTAGACTGCATTACTACAGTATCTGGTGTGCAATCTGTGATAGCTGAATGTTCCTTGTATATTTGTGTTCACTACATCCTACAAGAGAAAAGCAGTAGAGTAACCCCGCCCCTCCTACAGAAGCAAATGTTACAATAATGCAATAGATCTGGTACTTATTCTTTTTAATTTCATTTCAATAAATAATTGCTGTTTACCACCAAAAACAGACTCAGTACTTTTATTTTGAATTTTGAAGCAAGTTGTCCAAGTGTCCCTGCAGATCCTTAAAAATATATTTAAAGGGAATTAATTCATTAAACTAAAAATAAAGCCTTAATTGGTTTTAACCGTCTGAAACTTGGACACTACATCTCTTTTCTTGTGCTGCTTTCAGACGCCTTTTGCAAGTATTTAAACCTTTTTAAACCCTGAGAAAATTTCAAAAACAAAATTTCAAAAATATGGGGGATTAAATGAACATCTTGGTAAGAAAAAAAATGCTGTTTAAAATTTATTTTTATTTTTTAAAAAGAAAAAGCTAAGGAAAACTACATTTGTAATTAATATTATTACATTTTAAAATTATGTTACAGAATTATTAGAATTTTTAGGCACTCTTTCAAAGTCATTTCCTTGTTTGTTTAACTTTTTTTAACTGATTTTTTGTTTTTAATTTTCTCTTTTTACTAGTTTCTTGCTATTTTTTGGGTTATTTCTTCTTTCGTTGCTCATTGCCTTCTTCCAATGTTTTTTTTTAATAAATACTTTTATTGACAAACATTTTCTATGTTTAAGAACAAAAGAAAAGGGAAAAAAATACAAATATTAGGTCATGGGATTTTACAAAGATCTTCTCTGTTTTTAAAAGAAATCAAGCCAACTTGCTCGGGTTATAAAAGGTCAAATGTCTCAAATCATTTCTTAAAAAGTCTTTAAAAAATGACACCTTCCTACATGGGAAGTAGAATTTTATTTTATTTTTTTCTAATGTAGCATTGTAAAATTTAAAATACTTGGTAACATTTATTTTTATAAAAGTATATTGCCAAAGGCCTCTGGCATTAACGTCACACAGATCAGGATGACGGCAACAAAGAGACTCTCTTTTTGTTTCCTGTCAGGAAGCTCAAAGGAGAGGATCACTGTCTGTCAGCAAACTGTCACTGTACAGGAAACAAAAATGGCTGTTTAACCAAGATTTTGGGGCATGACTGAAACAGGTTCAAAGCTCAGTGTATTTAATGCAAAAAGTTTTTCAAACTCGGCAGAATGGGAGTCAGGGCAGAGTGAGAACCACAAAATAGCCAAGAAAACACAAGTGTCATGTATTTCACCCAAAAAGTCATGTTTTATGTTACAAAAAACAAATTGGCAAAACTGTCTCAGACCCTGAATTATTTATTTTTATTTTACCCTGTTCTACTCTGTTATTTTATTTTAATTGTCTTAGTTCTATTTTATTTTACTTTATTTTGTTTTGTTGTTATTTTATTTTTATTATTTTATTTTAATTTAATCTAATACAGTTTAATTTTTGTTAAACTGGTCTTGAACTTAATTCTGAGAGGCATCAAAAAGTCCAAAAAGTCTTAGATCTATCTCACCCTAAGCTGAGGGAACCTGATGTGTCAGGTAAAATTTTATAAAACGTGGGCACAAACTGTTAATTTGAGGGAAATAAAGGAATCTGAAAAATATAATCAGAGCTCCCACAGTCATGGAAAACCTGGAGAAGTCATAGAATTTCACAACCAATTTTTCCAGGCCTGGAAAAGTCATGGAATGTTGTTTTGTGACAGTAATTGTCTATTGTTAACCTTCCACATAATGAAACAGAAAAGGAAAGTTATTTTCAGAAGCTCTTGACATAATGTTCTAATATGTGACATTTTATTTACCATCATTTATGTTTCATTTCTTCCCTGCATCATCTCTCCCTCCCTGTGTGCCAGCTAACTAAAATTATGTTTGAGTTTGAATCTGATGCGTAAGAAAAGTGTCGGGCAAGAAAAAAATGTATAATGGGTCCTTAAAAGGTCCTTGAAAAGTTTTGAAATGTCCATTTAATGTGTAGGGACCCTGTTTAATGGCTAAAAAGAGGATGGATAGGAAGACACATCACTAGTTTGGGTGATTATTACACAGATTAATACAAATATAACAAGATTTTAATTTGTGAGACAAAAAACGACCTTTTTTTTAATCACTTTGTCAAATAAACTATCATGATTTATGTCATTTCACGATCTGTTATATGCATTTTGTTTGAATAAAAAGTAAGGAAAGGAAAAACAGAAACACTTAAGTCAGTGATGTGTTTCCAGTACAGTCCCTGAATGCATCACAGTGACATGGTGATGAATCAGCTGCATCATGTATTTTCAGGATCAGACCTTTACAGGGTCTCAGTTAGGACCCTGGTTATTAGTACTGCTGCTGGTTGCTGCTGCAGCATGAAGCAGAGCTGAGACAGAGACACAGGCTGTCTCCACCGCAGCAGCAGCAGCAGCAGCAGCAGCACACCGACCTGTGTCAAGGTAGACACAGAAACACAGACTGGACCGGAAGTGGTGGGGCTTGTACTTCAAAATAAACTTACATTTGTTGACACTTTCTCTCCACCACATTTCAGATGGAGAAAATAATTTGATCTATTATCAGTTTTTTAACACTTTTAATTAAAATTATTTTTACAATTGTCTGTTACAATTTTTTTTTTTTTTACATAAGTGCATGATACTGCTACTTGTGTTTCCCGATGCTTTACATGGCAATAAGCCTCTTAATACAAGCACCTTCACCAAACT